CATTGATTGGTCATCTGCAACCCAGTTAATTCTGGGATCTTTAGACTAAAATCCCATACCTATTTGTCTGGGAAGAAGCTCCACTGAATTCAACGGGGCTAACTTCTGAGAAGACCAGACTCGGATTGTGCTGTTGATTTGATTACCAAGAAATAAACCAAATGTGTGTGTGTGTAAAAATGTACAGTGGTACCTCGGGTTACAGATGCTTCAGGTTACCGACGCTTCAGGTTACAGACTCCACTAACCCAGAAATAGTACCTTGGGTTAAGAACTTTGCTTCAGGATGAGAACAGAAATTGTGCTCCGGCGGCGCGGCGGCAGCAGGAGGCCCCATTAGCTAAAGTGGTGCTTCAGGTTAAGAACAGTTTCAGGTTAAGAATGGACCTCCAGAACGAATTAAGTACTTAACCCGAGGTACCACTGTAATTCCATGAAGCCCTGTGATCTCTAAACACTCATAGAAGTCAGTCACTGGAGCCAATGGCAGGTTTACTTATAAGGAAGTATAGGAACCCTTCTACACTTTACACCAGGGGTAGGCAACCTAAGGCCCATGGGCCACAAGTGGCCCACGGGGGTCATTTAACCGGCCCCCGAACCACCCTCGAAAGAGCCGACCACTCAGTGAGTCCCCACGCGCTGCGCTAAACTAGCGTGGTGCTGGGACTCGCTTCCACAGCGCCGGAAATCACATCTGCACAGGCGCAGACACCAGAAATCGCATCTGTGCAGGCGCAGGTGCTGGAAATCATGGGTGCGTGTGCAATCTGGCCCACGAAGGGATCTCTGCTGGAGTGAACTGGCCCAGGGGAGGTAAACCTTGCCAACCCCTGCTTTACACAAAACAGGGTTGTAGAATTTTGGACTGTATTACCTTAGAGCACAGGAGGGTGTTTGTAAACGCCTCCACAAAAACAAAACGTGACAGCCTCCACTCCCTGAGGGTAGTAATCTAGCCCATCAGGAACAAAAGTATGATAAATCTTCCTCGCAGATAGGGTAGTTCATGGAGCTGGAGTGTTGTTTTTGGGGGAGGAAGCTCAACATCTCTGAGAATTCTAGCAATTCACTTCAGTCTGACTTCCTATCCTGTGTTGTTGTTTGTTTTAAAACACAAGAACAGCACGTACTTTGTTATGGAGCATGAAACTAGCTGGATCCTAGCTCTGTTTGCTGGGAAGCGTCACGGCAGGGCAACCGGTCGCTCTCACGCCCTCACTAAGGTCCCCATCCTGTGCACTCATTCCCTCGGACAATAAACCTCGCTGAATTGGCCGGGCTAACTTCTGACGCCGGAGATATCCGGAGAAATCTGCAGTGTTGGAACGATTGCTGCAATCCTGCAAATAAACAAGCCGGTGTGTGTGTCTCCTTTAATGGAGACGGGGGCTACTGTTTCCAAGGAAAGCACGCGCATAGCATTTCCTTGTGTTGGCTGGCGGACCTTCTCCCGCGACTGTTGGGTGAGGGGGCTCGATCCTGGGGGTCGTGCGCTCGTTTCCGTGCGCTTCGCGAAACTGGCCCGCTGAGTTCAGCCCCAGGGCGTGTCCCGCCCTCAGATAGTTGCCAATGCGCCTCGCCGTGCTTTGCATTGCGCCTTGAACCAGCCTGCGCCTGTCTCCCGGGTGCTTTATTGCCCCTGCAATAAAGGGGGTTGTAAAAGAGAGAGAGGGAGGGAGGGAGAGAGTACAGACTGCCAGTTCAGAGTTTCTGCAGGTGCCTTGACAATTGTGCTCAATTTGAGAGAGTGGGGTTAAAGAACAGATAAATTAATAGAGGAAAGCCGGCCCCTTTGCCAAAGATATTCAGAGAACTTGGCATCCGGACCCCTTTCTCACGACGGAGGGCTTCGCTGGCTTGCAGGGACCTAGGCAGCGGGGCCCGATCCTGTCCGGGTTGACTTGGAAGCCAAGTCCTCCCGCGATCCAAGGGGATGACTCCCAACTCAGGCTGCATAGGATCGCAGGGCTCAGGGATCAGCAGCACCTGGAGCAAAATGAGATGTACCCTGAGCCTGCCATATAAAAAAAATTTGGGGGAGGAGGAAGGGGTGCAACCAGCAACGAGGTCTGGCTAACCATTGTTATGTTCTTTGCTGTACTGTACCTTATGTGTCAAACGCCACTGGTGTAAATCAAAGTTTTCTATGCCTTATAGTTTTCGAGTTCTGGGGTGTGTGAAAATTAGGGAAATATATACATGCGTGACTAAAGTTGCTTCTAGGCAGCTACTACAGGCGCGGGTGCCTTCCGCTGGCAGCTGCTACAAGCACCGGATCCTGAGGGGCTTCATCCGCAGCATTGCTGGGTTTTTTTATTGGGCTTTTTAAAGTGAGGGATTAAAGGGAAGTGTTCAGGCCCACGTTTTCTGTTCAGGTCTTGCAGCAGGATCATAGACGTGTTTACACAACGAGTTCAATGTGACTCACTCCCTAGTCCCTGTGTTTAGAATATGTAACCTAGAGGAGAACAGCACCGGTCTTAATTCAGCTTCCTTCCTTCGAATTAAGCCCCGCACCATTCAAAAGGGCCAGGGAGCTACTTGACATTCTCCCTAGGTGCTGGTCTGTTGAAATTATGACCACGGAGAGGACCTTTCTCAAGAAGTGGCTGAGAAATCGGCCTCAATAGGGACTGGGAACCTAGGAGGCTACCTTGAGGAGTCGATACTGTGTTGACAATGGCAATTCAGGGTTTCAGGAGACACCATTTCCCCAGATCCATCAGAATCGAACTGGGAACTTTTTCCATTCAAACTATACGTTCTACCTTAAAGGCTTTGCCAATCCTAAAATGCCATATAGATTAGAGCGGCACCAAATCCTGCTATGGTGGTGGTGGGAATTGGGGACCTGTTTATGGCTTCAGGAAGGGGCAACAATTGAGGCAGGGTCTTCTCAGATGGTGCGTTCTCCCCATATTTCACGCCTCCGCCCCCTAACCGGTTGTGTTCCCCTCCAGTCGTTTATACATAATTAGGTGGGGAGGGGTGTTTGTGTGTTTCTCAGATTTCAACATTTCCCAAACGATTTAAGGTTTATATGAGCCCCCCTCACAAAACTGGACCATCAGAACATCCTCGGTTAACCGCTAGTGAAATTAGGCGTTTGGCTCTTTCTAAATCAAGCCTTTAAATGTAACTTTTCTAAAGACAATGACACTAGCGAGACTGGCTGTTGCTTAACTGGCGGAGATTAATTTCGCTTTAATTGCTAGTCTTATTTGACTGCTCCTCTGGTTACCCAGGACGGGGGGTCTGCAGACTTCAGGCTTGCGGTAAGGGGAATCTGCTTTGAGCTTAATGGTTTTGCTAGAACACCAAGATCCCCCAAGATCCGCCTGGTGTCAAAAGCCAGATCCTTAAAAATTAAAGGATCCGGAGCCTACGGATTTGCTTCGAGTCCCAAGAACTGACCGGAGCTCGCAGTCTTTCCAGGAGAGAGAGGGGAAAGCCGGCTCTGGTTTCCCCAAGCCATTTAAAACCGGAGTGGGTGAAGTCATTTAGCGGTTGATACAATCGGAAGTCCAAAATGTTTGCAAAGCAGCAACTAGCTATAGAACCAGGTCTACCTTGCGGGCACTCTGAAGATATCTAATGAAGAGAAGGGGATGCAAAATAGCATGATTAGACTCCATACAGGATCCCATGGAAGGCGGAAGTCAATTCCTTTGTGATCCATGGGACTTTATTGCCATGTAAACTGGGAGGAGAGGGAATGGAAAATGACCATTGATGTGAATGGGTATTTAGTTTGTTTCTGTGATGTGTGGTTTCTGTGCAGTCCCACGTTGCTGAATCTACTTTCTAACGTTGTCCTTCCGGTGTGTGTGTGTGTGTGGGAAGGTTCATTTGCAGTCTACTTTTGAGGAGACCACGAAATCACGGGGTCCTCGTGAAAGGGGAAGGGAACTTTTCAAGAATTCCTTCCTGGCGCTAGCCTGTTGTTGGTGTTCTCTGTGAAAATATGTCCTTTTAAACGCCTGTTCCCTTATTAAGGGACACAGGAAGGCTTCGCTAAATCCCGATGAATTGTCCTAAATTACCTTCCAACGCGACTGCTGCGACTAATAACCTCACAGTTCACAACACGTCCACATTGTGCGCTGGTTTCCTACGCACGCTTTTTGCCGTCTTGCGTTCCCGCAGCCCGATCCTACGCATGTTTGCTTACCAACAAGCCTCGGTGGGGTTTTAATACAAGCTGCACATGAGGCAAGCTGTACATAGGTTCGAGAACTCCAGTTCCATAGGATCCGGCTGCGATGGCGCGCCAGCGCGCAGTTTGAGACGCTTCGGTTCGTGATTTGCAGACCAATGAAATAGTCCCCCGGGGAGATGGATTGCCAGTCTTAGGATCGGGATCTCATTCGGCCTCCTTGAAGCCCCCCCCCCCGCATCCCCAACCATTAAATGACCATTCTACCGTGTAAACCTCGCTCAGAAATACAGTATATGGAAACTCAACCAGCTACATTCTAGTTAGAATTTAACCGAGTTGCAGAAAGAACTTTAAATACGTTGGCCGCTGCTATCAGCACCCGGTGCTCGCTTCTTCCAGCATATCCCGGCAGTGAAGCCTTAAATTAAGATCTGCATTGTAATGTAAACAAACAAGTAAAGATGCAGCTGTCAGGAAGATAGTGACGAGGCAAGCTTCACCTGTTGAGTTTATACTTCCAGATCGTTCACTTTCCTTCTCTCCAGGAACTCAGTTTAATTTCACGAAGGAGGGGATACATTCGCAGCCTGGACCCCCGGACTCAATTCTGTTCAGGGGTTCATGGCTTTATTTAAAACCATACGGTTCTGTACCGTGAGCAGAACCAAACCCGAGTATAGAAACCTATCCCACCGCCAGCAAAAGTCCTATTTCTCCCAGGGAAATCTATTGGCGCCGAAATCCTAAAATAGACCACCCTGCCACCGAAGTCCCATTCGTATTAGGACAAGGTTAGTATCGCTTCCTCTAGTTTCATGTGATATGTTTTAGGCTTGGGATGGCAGAGCAGTAAGTAATGTCTCTGGGCATATGCAGAGTGCCTTCTCCGCCCCGCTAAGTAACGAAAGCCTCCCATCCTCCCCATCTTGGCGGGATCCGGCTTTCTGAGTAAAAGAAAACGCTTGGAAAAAAGTATTTCTCTCTTAAACTAAATTTACCAGCGTCCCATCCCAAACAGCATGTCTTTAAAACGCACTATTCGGCGGATTTTCAAGTTTGTCACGCGTTAATTGCCAATTGTCTGAACGAAACCCGGACATCATTTGCGAGGATTATTGGGGCTTCCCTTTTCTTCCTCAATAACATGTTTAGGATCTCTGCCAATATTGTCGCACAGTCTAGCCTAGAATTTGCTTTGCTGTCCTGTCCTCTGTGCGTTTACACTGGATTAAGACTCCCCCCCCCCCCCCAGCGATCAAGGATACTTCCTCCGGAATAGAATCGCAACCCGAGTCCCAGTGGGAATTTAACAGGAGTGTAAAGGGAAGGGGCTGCGGATCCGGCTGAAAAGAAGGCGCTTCGTTGTGGTGACATCCAAATATCGCCTCCCTTTTGCAGCCTCTCGTTTCACACGCAGATGAATGCAGCGGCAAAGTTCTGGATCAAGGATTTAAGCAGTGAAAAGAGTCGAGCAGCCCTCTGCTTTTGTCCATCTTCCTAAAGTAGAAAAGCCTGTTTCAGGTTTAATTGTTGTTGAATGCCAGCCACGATTATCTTTTAAAAAAGAGAATCAAGACGCAACCACAGCAGATCAAATAGCTGTTTACTGCTGTGGTTCTGGTTTAATTCCGGCCACCATCTCGTTGGTAAGGCTCCTCCTGCATGTATTTGACACACACGAAAGAAAGGAGCAAGGCAGGCTTTATCTGAGGAGGTTGAGCTCCTCAAATCTACACAGCATTCTCCAGATTTCAAGAGCAGAAAAAGCTGAGGAGTTCTGTAAGACCGGAAAGCCTGCCTATTGCCCTGAGCCAAAACAAGCTGGTCCAAGAGAACGCGGGGTGTGTGTGTGTGTGGAAAAACCGCAAGTACACACGCACACGCCCTTTGCCTCCTTTCATTTGTGTGTGTGTGTGTGTGTGTGTGTGTGTGCGCGCGCGCGCGTGTCCTTCCTTCCATGTTATTTTTTGGGGGGACCGCAAAGGGCAATCTGAAAGAGTATGCAGGCCTCTAGATCTGCGCGGTTCTCTCCTCCCTTTGCCAATCTGGCTAATAACTCTCTTCCCGAACAGGAAACTGCAATAAGCCTCCAGCTTGAGAGATCCACCGCCCGATCCTATGCAGAGTTAGGCGCGCAGAATCTCGCTGATTTCATTCGGTTTAGGCGCAGCCAGCTCTGCTTCGCCTGCTTCTTTTGCATCCATTGCCTTGCTGGGACAAGGATCATGTTTAGCTTCCATTCCTACCTCAAAAGTCCTCCTCTTCCAAGAATACTTAGCTGAACATTCAGATCGTTTCACCGCTAAGGCTGTCACAGAATGCGCGCAATTAATATTCTAATGGGGGGGGGGCGTTTGGTCTTTGATTAAAAGGCAATGGCTGCAACCCTCAAACTATGTGCGGCACATCCGGGGTTAATGCATCCTTTGTTGCTGTAGCTCAGTGCCTAAGCACCGCACGCAGAAGGTCCCGGGTTCTAATCCTCGCATCTCCCGGTAGAGGTGGGGTTGACCCCTGTCTGAAACCCTGGAGAGCAGCTACCACTCAGTGTGGACGGTACTGAGCTAAATAAACCATCGGTCAGACGCGGAATTAGAAAGCTTCCTATGTTCCTGGGCGAAGCGGAGCTTCTCAATGGAAGGCGAGTTTTATCTAGCAGGGAAGCCAGTACAGTATAGACAGGAGGGGACGGGGCAATTGTTGGGTCAGAGTCAGACCCGAAGGCCTATAAATGCAAGAGATGGTTAGGAAAAGCACAAGAGAGAACAATATCCAGAGAGAGAGAGAGAGAGAGAGAGAGAGAGAGAGAGAGAGAACAAGGTCAGTCAGGATGCAATCCTATGCGCACTCAGCTGGGAGTGAGCGCCATTGAATTAATTGGCACTGACTTCCGAGGAGGCCAGGCAGAATGAGTAGAAGCCACTCCCTAGCGATGATGGATTAGGACAACAAGATTGATGCTGCCAACTGTGCTTCCTCGGACATCGTCTCTATTGAGGCCAAGTCTGACACTATCAAATGTGGAAATGATTCCACCGCGACACTTCCAAGCCGCTTGCAGAAAACCCGGGGAAAATGAAATGCTCCTTTCACTGAAAGTTACTCTTGTGAATTATTTGCGTACGTTTATTCTACGGAGGCAGCTGAATTTGGCCTATCAAAATGGACGTGAGCATGTATTAGCTTTGGAGTGAGACAGAATTCTTGGAAAGGCAGTAGACTTTTAGGTGGGAGTGTAGAGGTTCCTTTGAATCACAACCAATTCAGCCTAGGCGAAACACGGTTAGGTCCTACTCATTTGAAGACAATGTTAAAATCCGTGCTTAAACTTATTTCTCGAGGGGAAGGGTTCGCGTTTCCTTTTAATAGAGCCCTCACAGGGTATGTGAAGGTCAAAACAAGAAATGCAGCGCAGTGCAGTCCTAGACATGTCTACTCAGCAGCCCCTCTGAAGTCACTGGGACTTATTCCCAGTAAGCAAGTACAGAATTGCAGCCTTACTGAGTTTAATGTAACTTTCTCCTTAACGAGCAATTCACTAAACTACAGCCCCAAACAGATTTTACAGCACAATTCTAACCATGTATCAACTCAGACGCAAGTCCTATTGACTTTAATGGGACTTTCCCCCAAGCATGTGGGGTTAGGATTGCAGTCTTGGATGCTCGCTAGCTTCAGGTGGAGGCGAAACGAGCTGCTTTTCGTCAGCGAGCTACACGGCCCACTAAAGAATACGAATCGCAGGAAATCCATGTAAGTTCTGCGGCATTCATATTCTGGACACAAATGTGCAGGATCGCGCGCAGAGTCTGAAAACTGCCACCCTGCCCTTACTTGAGAGTAAGCAATATTGATCGCAAGCGGTCCTCAGTTGCCTCGCTAGTACTAAAACCTTGGTGAACTCCAGGAAACCTCATGCTGAGGAAGCATGCGCGGGATCCTGTAGGTGACAGGAAGTCGCTATCAGTTGCACTTCCCTCCCCGCCTTTATTTATGGCAATCCTTCGCATTCAAACCCGAGAGTAGATCCCCTTGAACGAAACGGGGGCTTGCTTTCCAATAAACACACACGAGATCGGGTTTGGGAGACAAAACGTAAAGGCTGCCTGGCACTCGAAACCCCTAACCTTTCAATTCCCTGGCTAATTCGCTGGTTGGGAGAATTGCACTCTGCATGCGCTCAGAGGCACGCTCGCCTCCTTTTTTCTTAACGCGCGTTCGGGCGCCGAGCTCTAGCGGTCAAGCCAGAAAGCTGCAGGGGACGGGGAAACCGGGCCCTGTCGTGCGACGAGGAAAGGTAGCCCTGCGGCGGCCGCTTTCAGTTTCCCTCGAGACTCCTGGTTACTGTTTAACATCCCCACCCACGTTTCAGTTTGTTTAGTAAATCGATCTGATGCCACTGGGGCTCCGTCTCTCGCCCCGTCGCCATTGCGCCAAAGTGAACAGATTCCCCTCCAAGGCATAGATCTCTGCTCGAAGGAGCTGGGCGAAGCGAAAAAAGCCCAGGGCCCAAGAGGGGGGGAGGAGGAGGAGGAGAGAGACGAGAAAGTGGCGCGCTGGGGGCGGGAGGAGGCGTGGAGATGCTCGGCAACCGCCGCTAAACTGACCCGCCCGAGGGCCAAGGAGCAACTCGACCCGGCAGGTAAGTTTCATTCGTGCCGCTGGCGCCTCCCGGCAGAGCGAGCGCAGCGCAGCGCCGCCCGCCCGCCTCGCACTGCCCTTCCTGGCCGGGACGAGACGAGGACAGCGCGCAGCCAGATTCCTCCGCGTGCTGAGGGCGAGCGGTGCCAAAGCAGAGGATGTCACAGAGCGAGCGAGAGAGCAATGGCTCCTGGAGATCTGGGGTTGTGTGTGTCACGTGCCCGCCTTGCCTGGTGGGCAAACCTGCACGCCCACCACGTGCGACCCCCTGAAAGAGCTTCGTATGGATGGGCTCTTGATTTGGGGATTGGGCAACTTCCCTTCCTTGCCCCCACAAAGGGTAACTCCCCAGTTGCTATTCTGCTGTTGATTTACTTGCCCAATTAACACTCAAATGATTTTTAAACTCAGGACAGACTCTTTAAAAAGAAAAAAAAAAGTGTGGACCTCCTGCAGCATGCAGTTTTTCTTTCATCCCACAATGACAAACCACACACACACACACACACACACACACACACAACTCCTGCTGGGTGGGCGCTGGGGGCACTCCAAAGAAGCAGGCTTCCCCTCCCAGTGGCTCCAGATAGTCAACAAAGAGGCGTGGCTTGAGACATTTCTTCCTTGTTGATCACATGATTACAACACTGGAAGACAAACTCTGAGGACTTCTGGTGGCAATCAGAGATTCCATACAGGTAGGGGGTCCACTATGGATGTGACAGAGTTTGTATCTATAACAGATGCTGGGAGCGGGGGGCGCTTCCAAACACAATTGAACAGGGGGACTTCAGGGTCCCAGTTACCCAGCAAAGCACCATATTTTGGTTTTGTTTCCCACTGACAGCACACAACATTCTGTGGGCACTCGGTCTTCATTGGGCAGGATTGTTTTTTGGGGTGTGTGTGTGGTTCCCCTTCAGTTTAAGTAGTAGTAGTAGTAGTAATAATAATAATAATTAATTTATATGCCGCCCATCTGAGTGAGTTGCCCAGCCACTCTGGGTGGCTTCCAACAAATCAAAACGTAGTAATACACCAAACATTAAAAACATTAAAAAAAATTCTCTCACCAGTGCAAACTTCAGGGTTGCTCTGAGCATGCTGATAACCCAAAATGAGGCCTCTTGACACTCAATTCCTGAGGGAATGCTACCCATAATCTTCCCCGTTTTGAGGTGGAAGGTTTGCAGGAATAGGGATTTCTCCGCTTCAGAGCTTACATTGTTTCATGTGGTAATAAGCATGCGTGCAAGGCCACACACCACTGTTTAGCTAGCCTATTTTGTTTAAACAAGCTCCAATAGCTCTGTGCTGCCACATCTGGTTGGTTAGTTCAAAATCAATAAGTGAAATTCAACCCTCCTCCTCCTCAATGCATCTTTATCATATCTCAATCCTGCCTTTTTCCTCCAAGGAGGTCAAAGTGGCATACACTCACAATAGGTTCTTCCTTTTATCCTCACAACAACCCCGTGAGGTAGGTTGGGTTCAATGAGCTTCATACCTGAGCAGGGATTGGGAACCTGACTCTATTAACCCTATCACAATTACCGGGCCTTTATGCTTCAGCTATGGTAGCAGTCAGTGTAGTGGTTAGAGTGTCGGACTAGAACCAGACAGGCCAGGATTTAAATCTCCACTCAGCCATGAAGCTCATTGCATGACCCTGGGCCAGTCACTCTCAGACTAGCCCCCCTCACGGGGTTGCTGTGAGGATTAAATGGAGAAACAGAGAATCGTGTTCACCACCTTAACCTCATTCAAGGAAAGGTGATAATAATAATAGCAACAAATGGATGGGACTTCTTCACCTTTAATAGCTGTGTTTCAGCAGAGTTTCTGCATCTTTAATTTCTGTTTTTCTTTTACCCAAAACCCTATGCTATACTCTTTTTCAGCCATGTTATTTCTTGGGTTGCTGACCCCAACTTTCCTACCTTCTAGGATTGGTTTCTGGTTCTTAGCCAGCTCCACAAAGTCCTTAGGGCTTTGGTGTGGTTTTAATTCCCGCCAAAAACACAATTTCATCAGGCATGTGGTGCCATGTTGAGAAAGCTGAACCTGCTTTCCAAATCCCTTCTTTGACAAAACTGATTATGATGACCCGGAATCGGCTCACTGGTTGGCACAGAGTTAAATGCCATAAGCAGTACCTAATAAATTACTGTGTATCCTATGCACAACTGCATAGATATATGCCCATTCAGTTCAAGGGGGCTTATTCCAAGGTAAATGGGAATAGAATTGCGGCCCTAGATGCATTTTACAGCCTAATCCTGTGCACAGTTACTCAGAAATAAGCCATACTGTGTTCAACGGGGGTTTACTGTTAGGGATGTGTGGATAGGATTATAGCCTTAAAGTATGATGTTTGCATTTTATGCAGTATACACAAGGAGGAAAGAAAACCACGACAATGAAATATTCTGTTAAAGCCAGATATGGGGAGAGTATTGTGAACATTTTATTGATCATCCCTTTCTCTGTTTCTCTTCCCCTTTGTGTGTGTGTGTAAAGGGAGTTAAGGTGGAAAGCACTTAAAATGCTCTTTTGTAACCTGCTCCATACTTCCCATGATTCCTCTGTCGCTTTGCAGCTTTGAGGAAGGAAAAAAAAACCACAGTTAAAAATGCTGTTTTCATTGCCTGGTACTCAATTCCCTGTCCCTTTCTTCCTGTCTCACAGATGCATGGCAGCTCTGCCTGAGGCTCACCTCATACACATTAAAAAAATCAGGTGTAGGACAAGATCCCAGTGCAGTTGCCTTGTTCAGAATGTTGTATTTCATTTTAGTGGCTCATGCAACTGGAGCACACACACACAAAAACTTCTCACTCTTCCTCGTCTTTCTCAACTTTCCTTAAGTTTTATTGAAATGAATCCTATTTCCATTTCACTGTTGGGTAAATGCAGAGTAGCCTGCCATTGGGTAAATGTTCTTTTCATTTCTGAGGCCACAGGGAAGAAGTCTGTTGTGGGAGGAAATCCTAGGTGGGGTGTGTGTCTAATGTAGAAGTTATCACCTTTGGGAAATCAGTTGTGAAACTCTAGGGCTGTGTACATAACATGCCTTTAAAACACATCACTTCCCTCAAAGACTCCTAGCCAAGGCTTTCTTTCAGTCGGAACTTGGTTTCAGCACCTCTCAGGTGGGCACCATTCATGGGCGTAGCCAGGATTTTTGTTAGGGGAGGCAGGCCTTTTGTTGCGGGGGGAGGCAGAACCTCAGTTAGCTATGTATTTTTATTAATTTGGGGGGGGGGGCAGCTGCCCTTCCCTGCCCCCCTTCACTACTCCCATGGCATCATTGCCATTATAAGAGAACAAGAGAGGCGTTCATGGTAAATTCCGGCACCTCTTTTTCTAGAAAAACAGTGCTGTTAGGAACCATAATTTAAGGGCGCTGAAATTGCAGCTCTGTGAGGGGGCAAACTATGGCTCCCAGGATTCTGTGGGGGAAGCCATGTATTTTAATTGTGTCAGTAGGCATATCACACCTCACTTTTTTGAAGTTAGTATTGCCCCAACGCTCTGCATTAATAAAGTTGTATATTTGGGAAGCAGACTTCATATTCTTGGGTATCGGGTTAACAAGGATGCTCTTTAGGACAACGTAGGCAAAATGCAGACTGAAGAGGAGTTCAGAAAAGGAGCAAAACAGATGGAAAAATTGTCCCACTAGTTTCCACCTGCCTGGTAAATAGGGTGGGTAATCCACTGCATTGTGTCCCCCCCTCCCACAACTCAGAATTTATCTCTAAAATTGTCTTGCAGGCCACTGTTCTGGTTTTCTCCTTTGCAGTCCGCCCCCTTTGTTTCTGTAGAAGTGGTGTAGTGGATCAAAGTCTTGAACTGGGAAGTCCTCAGATTGAATGTTGCTTCTGTCATGAGTTCCCTAGGTGGCCTTAGTCAAGCCACTCACTTAGCCAGGGGCGGAGGAAGGGGGTGCGGTGGGTGCACACCGCCCCGGGTGTTACCACTGGGGTGTGTGTGACAAAATGCTGGACGGCAGTCACCGCGGGGCCTGCAGTGCGCCTGAGCGTTGGGAGAGACGCAGTGGCTTTGGTGTGTGCAGGCTCCACGCTGCCCAAACGTCCACCCACTGCCTCCCCTCTAGATGTAGGGCGGCTGAGTGGGAGGAGGCAGGCAGACTCCGGAGGCCCTACTGTGTGCCCTGCCCCTATGGGCAGCTCGCCCCGCCCTTCCCCTATGGACGGCTCGCCCTGCCCCTGCGCATGCCACCCCAGGCACCTGAGCGGCTTCCTCCGCTGCTGCACTTAGCTTCTTGTCAGCTGCAATATGGGGGGGGGGCAATAACTCTGACTTACTTAACGGTGTTGCTGTAAAGCAGTGGTGATGGAGAACTCCTTCCATCCTGGATCTGCAGAGCCACAGGTTCCCCACCCTTGTTGTAAGGATCAAAATTAGATGAGGCATGTGAAGTGCTTTGAGCGCTTGAAAGCACTATACCAAAGTACAGTGGTACCTTGGGTCACATACGCTTCAGGTTACAGACTCCACTAACCCAGAAATAGTATCTTGGGTTAAGAACTTGCTTCAGGATGAGAACAGAAATCGTGCAGTGGCAGTGCAGCGGCAGCTGGAGGCCCCATTAGCTAAAGTGGTGCTTCAGGTTAAGAACAGTTTCAGGTTAAGAACGGACCTCCGGAAGGAATTAAGTACTTAACCTGAGGTACCACTGTATAAGAAGAATATAGCAGCTTCTGCAGGACAGAAGGAAGGAAAGCATTTGGAAGGCATTCAAAAACTCAACTCTTTTTGCACTTGGTTGCAAGTGAACAGAGTACCTGAAAGTGAATCTGCAAAATGTTGACTCTCTGTTTAGCTTAGTGACATGAAGTATGTATAAATATAACAGTGCTTTCTAGCAACACTTCTTTCCCTTTATCCTGCGCTTCCAATATAGTTAAATAAAATTACTTGTTAATTGTTCATTCCAGAATAGCAGAGAGATACTACTAAATATATTATTGTGCACAATACTGAAAATAAGTTATGTGTGGAAAGCATATGCAAACCTGCCTCTTCTTTGTATCTTATGCAAACAAAGAAACATTTGTATCTCCATAAGTTAAAAGTAGTTTATACAGAAATAGTATCTTCTTCCACACAGTTTATCACATTATGGATAACAACTGAACTTACTTTTACTAGCTGATTAAATAGTTTTTACTCTGAAGTCAAGTCCCACTGAGGTATATGGGGGTATAGGTCTGTTAAGAACTCTTAGGATTTCAATTTTAGACTTGCAGGCAGCAAAGCACATGATTTATCTAGCCACATAATAGCAAATGAAAGAGAGGGATTCAGAATCTTGCTTCAAGATTCCCTGAGTCATTGATCTTTTAACTTTAATTTTTCAGTAGTATTAATGGTAATTTTATAGGAACATATACAATTGTATAAATGTGAAGATTAATTTCTTTTTGACGCCTTGTTTAACTGAACCAATCAGATGTACAAAACCCCTTTCTTGCATCCCAACTTAAGTTGAAAAGCAGGTTAAGAGATTCCCTATTACAGTGACGCTAAGCATGAAATGTAAGCAGGGTTGCATATCCTGTATCTGTTATACGGAACCAGTTCTTGTTGCTGCCTGATTTATTGTTTTTGATAGCTGCATTGTTCCAGTGCTTATGCAGAGCCCCATTGAAGGTAAGGAATGCTATTTTTTGGCGATAGATACAACTTATCACAAAGCTGAATTTTATAAGGTCTTTTATGAAACGGCATTCTCCTAGTAAATTATCTTGGTAGCATAGCGTGCAGCAACTTCCAGCAACGGAACACACATTGCACCCACTTTTATTTGCATTGCATCTTATTGAAGCTAAGGCCGAAACGTGATGCAAGCTTAGAGGGAATAAGTTCCACTGAAGTTTGTAAGATTTAATTCTGGGCAAACAGACATCGGGTTGGACTGTGAATGTTTTATCATGGTAAATTAGCACAGATGTAATGGTGTAACTGAAATAATTGGCAAGGGGCTGAATCAAAAACAAAAATCGTGCTAAATTTTGGATCACTTTAGAGGCATTTTAAAATGTAATTCAGCAACTCTGATTGAATCAGGTTTTTCACTTTGCATTTTCATATATATTCATTCATTCATATATATATATGTTAAATTCAGGTTGGAATAACACGTATAATGTCAAAGCTGAAATCTATCAAACTGAAAGAGCTGGGCTACATTTTCAAACCTTTTCCAATTGTCAATTTAAGTTAATTGAAAGCGAAAGGTCTTGGTTTCAGGATTGGGCCATTTAAACACAGGCGTGCTGCTTTCATTTCATAGAAGGGCAATCTCCCTCCACACACGTATTTTTAAAAGGTTCATTCATAATTCTCCCTTCACACTTCTATTGGAAATGACAGAATTCATTATTTTTGAGCTTCGAACTATTTTCCTCCAACTTGGGTGATGAATTGTATGAGATTTACTTCACAACATGACATGGCAGCCCTTGAGATTTTAAAATACTATGGGCTAGCTGCCTGCCCTTTGTAACTCCTCGGGAGAAAGAGTGGAGGGAACTTTAGACCAGACTCCATGTCTCACTACTCTGTAAGTAAGAGGAACGGATTGCTATGTAGTGCTTGCAACAGTTTTGGGGGCCTAAGGATCACTAGAGCTCTAATAGGAAACAAATAGCCTTTGAGAGACAAAGAAGCAGGCTCCCTTTTCCTGCTTTATCTCCAGGCACATAAACCAATTGGTTATCTTTGTTCCCCTTCCATATATTCTAAGCATATTCAATAACAGAAAAGCCTTGTTTATGATACGGCACCAGTTAAGAAATTATATGTATGCCTTTTATAGTGATCACATTTTCAGGCATTGTAATAAATGTATGTCTTACTTTTAAAAAATGTGCATATCGCCTATTGCGCTAGTGTTAGTTTCACCGGTAAAGCTGAATGTGCCAGAATACAACAGGTGAAGTTTATCATCCAGGGTTGGTTCTGTCCACACTGTGCCATAAGCAACCATCATTAGGCAAAATCCAGAGACAGTTATGCACTGAAATCCTATTCATCCTTGTGAAATTTAGGATTGTGCCTCTGCACTTTATTTATTGTAGGATTTATATCTCCCTTTTCAACTCTCAAGGCCTCAGAGTGGCTTTACAAACTTTAAAATACAATTTTAATTTCTCACTCCTTCTCCTCTTCATTCTTAAGGTTATGGTGATAGAATCAACATTATTGTAAGCACTTGTGCATTAAAGAGCACATGTGAATTTTTCACTGGTCGTTGGCAGTCATTGAGATTGGTAGGGCAGAAGGCAGAGAGACCAATAGTAGTGGAGCCAGAGCCATTAACAGTGAGAGCTTCTGCAGCTTCTGTTTTTGGAATGGGGCGGGGTGAGGACATTGTGCACCCTTCACAACTAGCAGAGCATCTTAGGAATGGATGAATCTGTCAATGTTGGCTTCTTTCAGTTTCTTATTTCCCCAGTTTCCAGATCTCCCCATTTCTGCATCAGTTTTCAATTTATTTGTTTTAAAATATCCTTATGAAAATCCATTCTGGATTTTTGTGCACATTTCTGTGTGTAATTTTTTTTTTAAAAGATATTTATTAAAATTTCAGATAAAAAGAAACACATCAATAAAAACAAGAATTTAAAAGTAAAAAGGAAAATACACAATGCAAAATACAGAAAGAAAAAAAAAAGAAAAAAAGAAAAAACAGTTAAAAACAATTCCATCTTTTCATCACTACTTTTAAATTTACTTATTTTCTGGACCTCCTCATACCTCCCTCTTTTGTATTCCAATTTAGTTTGTTTGTCCAGCAATTCCTTTCCCTCCTTTTTAATCCCAATCCTTAATCTCAATATAATATAACATTAAATTTTTATCTATTAATAGCCAATTTTCCATTCTTTTGACCTTTTTAATCCTGATCCTTAATCTTGATCTGTATATAACTTTAAAGCCTGTACAGCTAGAAACCACTTAATTTCTATCCAACATCATTCTAACATTCTTTAATTTTGCAATGTTTCTTCCAATCTTCTTCCACCGACTCTTCTCCCTGGTCACGGATTCTGCCAGTCATTTCCGCCAATTCCATATAGTCCATCAGTTTCATCTGCCATTCCTCCAGTGTGGGTAGCTCTTGTGTCTTCCAGTACTTTGCAATGAGTATTCTTGCTGCTGTTGTTGCATACATAAAGAAAGTTCTATCCTTTTTTAACACCAATTGGCCGACTATGCCCAGGAGAAAGGCCTCTGGTTTCTTCAAGAAGGTATATTTAAATACCTTTTTTAATTCATTATATATCATTTCCCAGAAAGCCTTAATCTTTGGGCACGTCCACCAAAGGTGAAAAAATGTACCTTCAATTTCCTTACATTTCCAACATTTATTATCAGGCAAATGGTAAATTTTTGCAAGCTTGACTGGGGTTATGTACCACCTGTATATAATTTTCATAATATTCTCTCTTAGGGCATTACATGCCGTAAATTTCATACCTGTGGTCCATAACTGTTCCCAGTCAGCGAACATAATGTTGTGTCCAACGTCTTGTGCCCATTTAATCATAGCAGATGTTTCACCGTTTCATCCTGAGTGTTCCATTTCAGCAGCAAGTTATACATTCTTGACAAATTCTTAGTTTTGGGTTCTAACAGTTCAGTTTCTAACTTTGATTTTTCCACCTGGAAGCCAATTTTCTTGTCCAATTTGAATGCCTCCATTATGTGAAAATAATGAAGCCAGTCTCGCACTTTGTTTTTTAATTTTTCAAAACTCTGCAATTTCAGTCTATCTCCATCTTGTTCCAAAATTTCCCAATATTTCGGCCATTTGACCTCCATATTGAGCTTTTTCAAGGCTTTCGCTTCCATTGGTGACAGCCACCTTGGAGTTTTGTTTTCCCATTTCTGTGTGTAATTTTGCCTAACAGCATATTCTTGTGATATTCCCTTAATGCATTCACTAAAATATACATGTTTGCACACTTTCCTCCTTTTTACTTGCATTCCTCTTCACATTATTTGGTTGGACAACTGCATCACAAGTTTTAGAGAAGTATGAATTTAGAGAAGTATGAATTTCAAAGGGTAGCTAGCTGTGTTTAAGTTCATATATTGTTTCAGGTAGTGCAAATTAGGTTTGCTTGCATTAAAATGCAAACCAAGCTCTCCCCATTTCTAACGCACATGCTTATTTTGTCTCACTCACTGGATCATCACCTTCTTGTGGTGAGTGGGAAAGTCTCACCTGAACAAGAACCTTGAATACATGGAGTAGTCTTTGCTATCAAAAGCAATCTTGTGAAGCTCTTGTCAGAAGTCCCTACCAGCATTAATGAGCGACTTTCAACCCTTCGAATAAAACTCACCAAAAACCAACAGGCTACTATTTTAAGTGCTTGTGCACCAACACTGGATGCCATTGAAGACATTAAAGAAATTTTTAATTCTCAGCTGGATGCCATCCTATCAGAGATGCCTAAGGAGGATAACATTATCCTCCTGGGTGATTTTAATGCAAGAGTTGGGTGAGATTTCAATCTGTGAAACTATTGGGAAAGAAGGAATTGGCAACAGCAACCAGAATAGAATCTTACTTTTGACTATTTGTGCAGTGCACAACCTTGTTATTACCAACACACTCTTTCAACAAAAAGATAAATTTAAAACATCATGGGGGCACCCTCTGTTGAACCGCTGACACCTCTTAGACTATGTAATTGTTTGAGTTGAAGATCGCTGTGATGTGCTCCTTACCAGAGCTATGACAAGTGCTGATGACTGCTGGACAGATCAAGATCAAGGTTCCTCAGACCTTGTGGGGGCCCGGACTATATTTTGAAAAAAATAATAAAAAATGAACTAATTCCTATGCCCCACAAATAACCCAGAGATGCATTTTAAATAAAAGCACACATTCTACTCATGTAAAAGCATGCTGATTCCTGGACCACCCACAGACCGGATTTAGAAGGCAGTTGGGCTGGATCTGGCCCCTGGGCCTTAGTTTGCCTATCCATGCTCAAGCCCTTCAAGATCCCATTAAGCGGGATTGCTTCCAAATGACTCTTAAGGACCATCTGCTTTCAGAGTTCCCTGATAACACCGAGGAACACTGGACCAAGCTAAAAACATCCATTATGGCAAGCCTGCAAACAAACTATTGGATACCAAACCAAGAAACACCAGGTCTGGTTTGATGAGAATGATAGTGCGTTTGAATGCATTATTGACAAGAAAAGGAAGGCCTTTCAGATCTGGCAAAGAGATAGAAACTTCACCACTAAGAAAGAAACATATGCCAATGCTAAGGCTGAGGTTCAAAGAAGAACCATAGAACCTGGTGAATAAAAGCTCAAGGGACCCTGCACTTAACCGACACTCTCCCAATTGAAGTGCAGAGTGGGATTTGAAGGGAAACCAAAATGCTTGTTTACAAAGCTATTGTACTACCAACCTTAATGTATGCTTGTGAAATGTGGACCACTTATAAGCGCCATCTCCAACTCCTTGAAAGCTTCCATCAATTGTGTCTCTGAAAAATTCTACATATCACTTGGGAAGACAGGCAAATGGATAGCGTAATGCTGGTGGTCAACAAAAGAGGTTTAAAGACTTTCTTAAGGCAAATCTAAAAAAAGTAGGATAAACACCAACAATTGGGTAACAGTGGCTTGTGAGCACTCCAATTGGAGAACAGCCTTTACCAAAGATTTCATGGACTTTGAAGATGCTCAAACTCAGGACGAAAGGGAGAAATGTACTAAGAGGAAGGCACATTTGGCAAACCCTCACCTTGATCAGCTCCTGCCCAGAAACCTATGTCCCCATGTGTGGATCCAGAATTGGCCTCCACAGACACTTATGGACTCACTGTTAAGACTGTGTTCATGGAAGACAATCTAACTTGGCTATGACTGATCGCCAAAGAAGAAGCTTATTTTGTACCTGATCAAGGTCCCCATGATTACCATTAGTCTGTAAAATATAGAAAGAAAAGCTACTGTATGTTCTCTTCAAAGATTACTGCTGTGCTGCAGGAAGTTGGTTGTAAAGAGGACTATGGGGAAGTTGCCTTTTAAGGACAGAATATAGAATAAAGTCCCTAGGAAAGCCAAAATATTGGGCTGTAGCCAATACTAGTCCTACTCAAAAGAGACCTATTGAAATTAATAAACATGACTAGCTTATTTCTTCAGTTCTACTCTGAATATAAATAAGTTGGATAAAACCCTTTTTTAAAAAAAAGAGTGTAAAGTGGAGATATAATTTCCCTTCAGGTTCAGATGCATTTCTTTTGTCCTGTTGCCACCACCTGTTGTCAAACAGGTTTTGCAGGGTTTTGAAACAGTGCAGCAAAATAGGTTTGTCAGAGTGGTCATAGGATAAGGGTACATACTATGGATACTGAAATTTCTGTGATACTTTTCTCTAGAGCACTGAAGGTGGCATCTATTGTCCATCCTAATGTGGGCCATCCTAATTTTTTTTATTTTAAGTCTGGAAATTACTAGTTGACACTGTCCATTGCCTGCCCATTTATTGCTGGCAAGGCTTCCTTGTTTGTGAAATTTTATTCTTAAGGAAGCAGAGAGCCAGTTGAAATGCTTCATAGTATTTTGTATTAAATCACACTGAAGACAGAGGCCTTGCATCTTAAGCTGATGGCCAAATCTGCCAGTTCTTGTTCTCTTTGATGCAGGTAAAATGGTTAAAAGCAAATTTTGAAACGTGGGTGCTTTGTATCTTTTAGAAACTTGGCTGAGAGGCCCACAAATGGATCCCAACTTCTTGCAAAACTCAGTGTTGAATGTTTATGTTATGTTGTTCCATTGTTCTGTGCTGTTAAGCAGTTAGGAATCTGTCTAATCTTCTCTGGGCTCCAGTCCATCGGTAACTGGAATCAAAGAAGTGAAACTGACTAGTCTTTGTGACTGGGAACCTAAAATACACACACACACACACACACACACACACACACACACACACGGGGGGAGGAGGGAGAGACTAATAGGCCTGAAAAGTGAAACCAAATAGACTACTCCGTTGTCTAAATATCTATTCCCACACAGTTGTACCTTGGTTCTGGAATGCCTTGTGACTTGAACATTTTGGCTCCCGAATGCCAAAAACCCGGAAGTGAGTGTTCCAGTTTGCGAATGTTTTTTGGAAGCCAAACGTCCGATGTGGCTTCCAAGGCTTCCGATTGAGTGCAGGAAGCTCCTGCAGCCACTTGAAAGCTGCACCTTGGTTTTCAAACATTTTCGGAAGTCGAATGGACTTCCGGAATGGATTCCATTTAAGAATCAATGTACGGCTGTATTATGTTTTGGACAACAAACATGCAGTTGGAAAGTATCTAAATAGTTACCTTCTGGCTACCAGTGTGGTGGTGTGGTTACGAGCGGTAGACTCGTAATCTGGTGAACCAGGTTCGCGTCTCCACTCCTCCACATGCAGCTGCTGGGTGACCATGGGCTAGTCACACTTCTCTGAAGTCTCTCAGTCCCACTCACCTCACAGTGTGTTTGTTGTGGGGGAGGAGGGGAAAGGAGATTGTTAGCTGCTTTGAGACTCCTTCGGGTAGTGATAAAGCGGGATATCAAATCCAAACTCTTCTTCTTCTTCTACAAACATTATGATATTCTTATTTAATTCAGTTTATTTACACACCTCTTTTCTACAGCAAGCTGTGCTCAAGCAACAGTGAGCTGTGGCCTTACAACAGATATCCATTTATTATCAGAATACAGAACATTTTGCTGGGCATGGAAGAGAAACCAGTTAACAAATGAACCCCCAACAAACAGAATAGGTTCAGCATTACAAAGAAATAACCTAGGCTTCACTTTCATTTTGCTCTGTGCTTGTGTATAAACAAACAAACGAGCATTACATGAGTAAATACAGTTCAGAGGAAGAAGAGACTTCTTGTCGGGCTAGGTGAGTCACAGCTGACTCTCTCCTTCCTCCTCCAGAGGGGGCCAACAGATCTCCAGAGGTTCTAGCTGCATTCTTGAGTGGAAGACTGGATAGAAGCATAAACTTTGGGATGGAGCTTCCCAGTGGTTTTAGCTGGATGAGGAGAGTGCACAGGTCCTGCTTTGGGAGCATCCCATAAGCAATCTGGTTGGGCACTGTGAGGTCAAGGATGCTGAACAGTGAAGGCACCTTCTTGATCTCAATAGGCAGGGAGTTCCAAAGTGTAGGTGCCACCACACTAAATGATCAATTCCTTACAAATGTGGCCTTACATTACCCCAGAGGACAGGTCTGGATCTAATGGACTTAAGGTACAAGAAAGAAGGCTTGGGTGCAATATTAGGCAAAATGTTTTGATGGTAAGAACACTTTGACAATAGAACCAAATACCCACCAGCGTGGCTGAGGACTCTCGCTCCCTGGTGGTCTCTAAGCAGAAGCTGGGCAGCTATCTGTTAGCGATGTTCTTGCTCGTTTGATTTCCTGCTTCAAATAGGGGGTGGACAACATGATCTACTAGCCACCCTCAATCTCTAGGTGCTTTTGTGCTTCTATGCAGTAACTGCTGTTGCTGCATCACTGCTGAAGCCGTCAAGGAAGAGGCTGGTGTCACAAATCCAAATTCAGCGCAAAATGATTCACTTGGATGCAGGAAGCAGTTTGTATTATAACGCTATCTGGTAGTTTCCAGCTCATTTCTAATTCTTCAACACTGACTTGTTAAAACAAGCCTCTTGTCTTTACACTCTCTGAAAGGGGTTGCATAACATCAATTTCCCACAGGAAGTTGTCCTTTCATCCATGACAACCCCTGCAGCATTATCTTAGTGTTTTCTGATGCAGCCAAGGAATGTTTGTGTGTGTGTGTGTGTGTGTGTGTGTGTGTGTGTGTTATTTGAAGAATTTTGGATTATCCATAGCCGGATGGAAATCTGATGTGTGAGATGGGATTGTCAGTAGCCTATCTCCCCATGCTGACGAGAAGCATTTAATTCTGTTATTGGAATATGACATTCTAGATCACTGTTGAAAATCGATAAGCTGCTAAAGGGCAGCCTTACAGCTTGACCTAAATCCATTTAGAGCCACTTTATATACCTCATTAGTAATGTAATTTAAGGGTAAAATGCCTTACCCACATACTGTTATACAGTGTCATTAGTATGTTTATTTTTATTTTTCCCGTCACACAGCATCTTGATAACTGCGTATGTGCCTGGTGGTCTCTCGACGCACACATTTACAGAATAAATAGATCAGAGGTTTTCACATTGTGGTCCAGAAAGCTTTTCCGGGTGGTTTGCAAACAACTGATGGATGACTTGATGGTATATCGCCTTCCTTATTTACAGAGGCTAAATTGTATTAGCAGAAACTAAAAACCCATTTAAATATTTCTCCCCTCATATTATCCATGTGAGTAATTGCTGTAATTTCAAAATGATCTTATGCACTTTTGGGAGGGAGGAGTGAGGAAGTACAGGAATGCCTGTCTAGCAAATAATTCATGGTACAGGCTAGTACAACGCAGAGAAACCTTTACAAACTCAGAACATTTGAAATGTCTTGACATCAAATGTAAAACAAAGTTTCTAATGAGTTTACTGAGAATTCTGCTAAGAATAATCATCCTATCAAGTATGAACAATTGGTAATGATCACTGTGTGTGTGTGTTCCTACAAGCAATTATTTTTATTCAACTTCTAATAGATAATGCTTGTTTGTTTCGGTTTTCATTAGTAAAACTATCCCAAGCCTCCCTCAGTTATTCATTTATGCAGCGATGGATTCTGTAAAGGCAGGAAATTGGCACAAAACAATTTCTCAGACAACCACAACACTTTCTTTACCCTAAACTCAGACAGTAGTGCTTTAAAGGTGATCAAAGGACATTCCTTTGTATAGTAGGTCTGGTGTGCCATTTGTAAATAGCTTCAGGAAACCTTTAGAAGAGAAAAGAAACAAAGGCAAAGTTTTTTCCACGGAGAAAGGAACCGGTGCTGTGTTCACCCAATCTGTAGTGAAAGGACTTAGTGGGACTCTGGGGTTATGCGAGAGACTACAGGCTAAGGTGGTGCAATGACTTTTCCTTTTACAGTAAGGATTCTGAAGTCTCATCACAGGCAGAACCATGTGAGATTTGGACCCTGTGCGGCCTGTTCTTTTTTATGGCTCCTCATAGAGCTAAAAAGGGAGGGAAGAGAGTGTGATGCTAGAGGTGGCAATGGGAGCTGCCCCCTGCCTAGGTGAATAGATGAGGAAGGAAGATTCCAGTTGGGACTGCACTGGGGGCAAAGGGGTAGAGCCCACGTCTCCCATTTCCTGGCTATTGATTATTTTATTAGAATATCAGCTATGCAAGAGCAAAGCATCTGACAAATGTCACATGTAGTTTGACCCTAATGAGGACATCTTTACTGGACCTGCAGACATCAAGGGGGAAGCTATAGATAAGACTTGGGAGAGGCTGGGATATTATTATTATTTATAAATAAATAAATCTTTTTATTGAAACAAGACTTGAGTGGGACTGGGAGATTTCTTTTTATTATTCATTTCATTTATTTAGAAAAATAAATTCTAGACTGCTTATTATTGAAACAATCTATAAGCAACGCATGTCAAAAGACAATGAAATTGCCAGTATAAAATTTATAATATGAATAAAAACAGCATCAAGCTGTACAAAAGGTATAGGGCCCAGCATTACAGTGCTGGGAAAGCTTAAGCACCAAGGTATGCCTTCAGGAGATGTCTAACATACACATAACTGAAGACACTTTCTCTAAGGGAGAATATTTGTGTGTGTGTGTGTGTAGATGATAGATAAATAGATATAGATAGATAGATAAAACATGTTTGGGTATTTAGTAGAAAGTTACTGTGTTTAGCTGTGTGCTGAGTTAACAAGCAACACACACATAAGCACACACTCTCACACAGGCTTTCTTGGAAGATCTTATTTTGTTTAATCCTTTTGTTGTTAACTCTGCAGCAGCAGAAGTAGCCGCCTCTTCAAGCTCAGGTCTGTTGATGAATAAAAAAGACTTTGCCGAACCTGTGAGAATGGGACTCATAGGATTGGTTGTGGTCCACTTTCTCTCCCCCCCCCCTTTGCCTTCTCTCCCCCCTCCCTGCTTCTTTTCATTTTGTTTGAGATTGAATTTGAGAAAGAGCTTTGTTCCAGACAGTTGCTTATGGCAGTGGGTTGAGATGAGATTTCGTTGAATCATAGAACTAATACACAAACAGAAAATATGTGAAAATTGAAATGACAAGGTAGAGTAGCTTGTTTGTTGAGGTAGATAAAATAACTAGGTTTGCAGGGAAATGAGAGGAGGTATGTGTGCTTGTGTGTAAGAGAGATAGATATCCGAACTGGATTTAACCTGAGCCAGGGTTTGTTCTTCATATGCTTATATTCTAGAAACACTTGCTAAAATGAAAGAAACCTCTTCCCCCCCTCTCATTCTGATTATGCTTACAGATAACGTTACTATTACTTTGCAATTGTGTTTGCAAACAATCAGAAATAGTTGGCTAAAGTATTGACATATATCATCTCTATCTGCATTTTTTAATCATTCTGTATCATTTCTCCATAACGTTATTCTCCAAACAGCAAACCGGCACAAGGGATTATTTTGCCTCAGACAGGCAAGGGTGTTGCTAATTTCCCACTCCTCGATTGGCTACTTCTTTCTTCCTGGTTATTTCCCCCCTTGTTTTTCTGTGACATTAGCTCTCTGAGAGGCTCTTCTCGAAGACAGGGTGGAAACTGGTGCAGAACCCAGCAGCCATGGTACTGGTATCAGTGGCGTAGCGTGGGTTGTCAGCACCCGGGGCAAGGCAAGTAATTTGCACCCCCTAACCCGTGGATTTGCGCCCCCTAACCCGTGGATTTGCACCCCCTAACCCTAACCCTCAGATGTTGCGCCCGGTGTGGCCGGCCCCCCCTGCACCCCCCACGCTACGCCACTGACTGGTAGGTCCCACTGGCTGGACATACGTTACACTGGTTGCTGGTTCATTACAGGGCCTATTTTAAGATACTTCTGGCAACCTATAAAGCCCTAACTGGTTTGGTATCCCTGTTGGTGCTTGCTAGGGCTTATGGGAGTTGTAGTCCCAAGCATCTGGAGGGCATCATGTTAACAAAAGCTAGACAAACATACTGTATTAAGCTTCCCAAAGAGGTGGCGTGTTATGTGTCGTTTATATACGATTCAGCTTTTCTTCCAAGGAGCTCAATATACAGTATTTAAGGGTCCTTTCCCCTTCCCTATTATAGCTTCACAACAGCCCTGCAAAGGCCTGAGAGACAGTGTGACTGGCGCAGGGTCATCCGGTGGCTTGTATAACTGAGTACGGCTGACTTTATGTGTGAGAATGGTTGTGACTGTGTCATCTTGGTGTCATAGCAGCCATCCAAATCACCTTAGTTCCCTTGAACAGAAGCACATACTACAGTGGTACCTCGGGTTAAGTACTTAATTCGTTCCGGAGGTTCGTTCTTAACCTGAAACTGTTCTTAACCTGAAGCACCACTTTAGCTAATGGGGCCTCCTGCTGCTGCTGCGCCGCCGAGCACGAGTTCTGTACTCATCCTGAAGCAAAGTTCTTAACCTGAAGCACTATTTCTGGGTTAGCGGAGTCTGTAACCTGAAGCGTATGTAACCTGAAGCATATGTAACCTGAGGTACCACTGTATATGGTGGATCTGCATGGCTGCAGACTAAGGCCACCCAAAAAGACCTCAAGGGTTGCATGCAGCCCTCGGAATAGGCATTGGACCACCCTGGTTTAGGGTAACCAGGTACATTTTACACATTGTGTGTTGGTGCACATGTGTGTACAAAATATTTGTGTAGCTGCAATATTTCTCCATTTTGAGTCATTCATTTTACCATATGAAACAACCAGGGGCGTCTTGCCCATAGAGGCAAGTGGTGTGGGGCGCCAGGGCGCCAAGTTCTGGAGGACACCAGGGAAGAGGCAGAGGCTGGGTGCGGCGCCTCCTGACATCAGCTCGCTGCCCTTGCCACCTAGCACCGTGCCTGGAGCCTCTGCCTCTTCCCTGCTGGAGAAGCCGCCCTCTAGCCGCTGCGTGCCTCCTCCAGCCCCGCAAAGCTGCCAGCAGTGCCGTAAAAAGGTTGGCAACTCTGGGAAAGGGGGGGGGGGGCGCCGGAGGGATATTTGCATCATGGCGCAGGATATACTTAAGATGGCCCTGGAAACAACATTCTTTTTTAGAAAGGTTCAGCTGCTTTCCCTTATCAGCCTGTGGGGCTTTCCAATGTCAGGACACTTAGGTAGGTGGAGACTTCTCAGAACAGAGAGCTTATCAGTGTTTGCTTAGGATCTATTGCCCCCCCCCCTTTTGCCATAAAAAGAGCTATATTGCCTACAGGTGCCATAAACCTTAAGATCAAACTTTTCTCAAGCAAGTTTGAATACAGATCCTCTGCTAAAACAACAGGAGTCAGGACATTTCTTCAGCAGAGCACTTCCAGTCTCCCAGCTCCTCTGGTGGCAGTAGTTATCATTACCATGCTAATTGTAGCAGTTTCACTACTACAGTGAGATACTGCTGTGCTGCTTATTAGGAGAAAAATAGCTTGCACAGATAGATTTGATAGAGCTATCTATTGCAAACATAACAAAATTCAAATAGTCATATAAGCAATAGACTAATAAAAGTATATCATATTAATAACTATAAAGTAAAATTGAACACTATTCATAATAAAATTTAGCAATAAAAATATAAGAACATAATCCAGATAACTAAAAGAATCCATAATAATAATAATAATCTCCAAATCTAAATATTGACCCCAGTAAAATGTATGTGTGTTGTTTCTTTCTGTGAGCTGTAAAACTTAATTGATCTGATTTTTTAAAAAAGCTTTAGATTGAATGAACTTTTATTCTAAACATGCAGACTTCTAAAAATAAATAAAAACAAACCCAAATATGTTATTTTTACATGGATACTAAAAAACTGGAAGTGGCAATTGCCATTTTAGAACAGGCATTTGATCTGTTCTTTCATAGAATAAGGAGTGCCTCTTTTCATCCTATGGGTAATGGCTATTTCTTGCATATCTGCACCAACCCTGCATGCTGCGCTCTTGCCTTGTTCAAATTATCTTGATATTGTGTGGGAGACACAGCAGAACTGCCCCATCCCACAGCGGAAAGGTGACACACCAGATCCCATGGGAAGGGCTCATGTCAGAAACATGACAAAATGGTTTTAAAGTGCCCAGGAATGGCCTGATCATCAGCCACCTCAGGTGGCAGAAGCTGGAGAGCAACAGAACGTGTGTGCCATAAGGCCTGCCCCAGCCAACAAGCTAGCTCCCTGACCACAGGTGTGGTGGAAGACATTGCCTTGTCCCCAGTGCTGAAGTAACATTCAGTTGCCAGTCTGATCAGTTTTCTACACGTGGAGTGGGCAGTGGGGAGAAGCAACTTGTACAGGCGGCAAAATTCCCTGAGCGAAACTGGACAAGTACGTGAATTCTAACGATTCTACATTAGAGAAGAGCTCTCTAGAACTTCTGGGCTGAGATGGGTGTGGGAAAACTGGTTGTGTGATGCTCTCCTTAGCCACAGGCATTGCCTGGTACGAAGGTCTGTCATTAAGAAGCATGGCTAAATAAACAGGTTGGGATAGGATTACTTTAGTGCCCTTCCCTTCCCTTTATGCCATTTTATTGTCCTACTAATGGTTATTAGATTAGGTGTGTAAGAGCTCACGAAATATATGCGGTGGAAGAAGTATGCAGGAAAGTAAATGTTTCCCACAGAGAGTCTAGCTTTTCTGTATTTGATGGAGAGACTAATTTACCTTGCATAGATAAGTGATGGTATTGGAGGTGGGTTTGAAACCCGGTCCATTCCATGCTTTTATTATGCTCAGTGCTGTGCAGCCATTATTTTTAATGTAAACTTACAGAGGCCCCTTTGGGAGAAAGGCTGTTATTACAGCCAATGTTTTTGTTTTTAAGATTTACCCATTTTTGATCCGTGTGCTGTGAAAGTGCTCAGTATTGAATTGTATATTATTTTAATTTTTAAATACAGTACTTCTCGCCATTGTGGATATTTCCAAAATAAATCTGGGAGATTGGATTAGGAACAGTACTCCCAAGGAGAAAGAACAATGATGGCCTACAGTAATTTTTGTTTTCTATCTTGCATTTGCTTCAGGCGATGATAATAATAATAATAAAAATAATAAAAAAGAGGAAGCTGTGGATGCATAGTCAAGTTCTTTTTTTGGGAGGGAGGGGGTATACAACCTACCTAAAGTTAGGCCATTAAATTAGATTTTATTAAGAGACAGTGTAGCCTACATTAGGATGTCTGAGATGCATACAAAATGACCTGATTTGCTTGCTGGCTAATTTGCAGATCTGAACATCTCTAAAAATTGGATTTTGCACTTCTCCAAATGTGGGAGTGCAATTCTTGGCTTAAAAAAAATATCAAAGTGCATGGTTTTTCAAATAAAATAATTTAAAACATTTTGACAAAAGGCATTGTGAAATGCATATTTTAAATAAATAAAGTAAAAAAATATGTTTAAATGATTTTTTTGACGTGGATTTTCTTTTCTTTTTCAAACGAAAATAAGCCATATATATGGGAATAGAATGAAATAGACTGAGTGAATGCATATGAAAGTAATATGGAACAGAAGCAAACTGGTTTGTCCAGTCCTAGTCCAGATGTCATTCAACAATTTCAGTGGTGGACTCATAGAGTGAGATCCATGTAGGTTATACAGTGGTACCTCTGGTTACGTACTTAATTCATTCCGGAGGTCCGTTCTTAACCTGAAACTGTTCTTAACCTGAAGCACCACTTTAGCTAATGGGGCCTCCCGCTGCCACCGCACTACCGCCACGCGATTTCTGTTCTCACCCTGAAGCAAAGTTCTTAACCCAAGGCACTATTTCTGGGTTAGCGGAGTCTGTAACCTGAAGCGTATGTAACCTGAAGAGTATGTAACCCAAGGTACCACTGTAACTAAAGATAAATGGCAAAACCCAGTGTATTTTAAGACAATTTATCGTGATTGTTTTTCCCCGTGTGTGTGTGTTTGTGCAAATATATAGGGCCAGATTCAACTAAACAGTTGCGCTTGTGAGAACCAGTACAATGGCTTTCTTTCCTTCCCTTCCCTCCTCTCCCTTCTGTCATCCCAAGCTTGCCCCCAACACAGGGAGGAGAGGGGAGACCATTCCATCAGGCATGCAATGCAGAAGCAATCTCCCAACACTGCTTAGCATTCCAACCATAATTCCTGACTTGAGCAGTATTACCAACAGATAATGAATTGCTTTCTGACATTTTTTATAGCATAAGTGCCTATGGCATACACACGTAGTATAGGTCTACTTCATTGTTCTTAACACTAGTCACTCAGCATATAGGACTAGCGACTGCCCAGTAAGGATGTACGAAGGCATTGATTTATCTTCCGACCTGTGTTTGTCACATGCAGCGATGCTTCCATTGCACCGCAGTTTGGCTTCTGACGAAACGGTTGGTCACCTCACTGTGATGGAAAGTTGCCTACTTAATTTATTACGTTACGTTCTGCACAATTCATTTCAGTGCAAAGGAAAAGCTATGCAAATGCTGGGAAGGGGAGTCATCAATTACATATTGTTTTCAAACTGAAAATAACAGTGACTAACAATTGTGTTCACTGCACTGATTTTTGTTTGACATCAGATGGAAAAGGAGACACCAGCAATCTCTGCTCCCATTTCTATCATAATTCCCTGATAGCCGTACTGACCAGAGATGCAAATTTTCAAATGGTCTGAAACACAGAGGATGGGGAGGATGTTTCCTTTGATCTCCTTATCTAGTGAGTAGAGGTTTGGAAATTGAAGGCCTGGATTCGAGTTCTACATCATAGATTCATTGCCTGAGCTTGACCAAGGGGCTGTGCTTCACTCCTTGTTCCTCATGTCATCATTGCTCCCATTTTACACATGTTTTACAAGGTTGTTATGAGAGTAAACACAGAAGAGATTGGAAACTGTTTCGGAAACCAAAATTTTTCTACAGTTTCTTAGTAGTAACAGCTGCCCAATATAGAGCCTGATCCTAAGTACTTTGGATACAATCCACTGCAGGTCAGAAATGCTGCTGAAATAAATTACAGCTCTCAGCTGCAATGTGGGAGTAAAGAATGTCGTGTGCTAAAGATCAGGCTTGCATGATGAACTAATTGGCTTAATAGGGTTTGAGCTAGCTTCATGTGGATTGCAGTCCTTGTGAAGAAAGGTGTTCCATTAAAATCACTGCAATCTACCATTAGGTACATGAAGTGCCAATCTAAACGAAGACAAATTAAACTTTTCTCCTTGCACCTATGGTAATCACCAGTCCTCAGCATCTATTAATACTTTTTCATGTGTTTACTAAGGAAAAGAGTGTGATAGATGGTCCAGGAATTCTAGTGAAATAAGCCAGATCTCATGGTCACAGCTAGCTGAGTTTATCACAGAACAATCAACCCCCACCCCACCCCTGGGTTTGCTGCACGCTGTGTGTGGATTGGAAGGAGGTTTCCCTTTCTGCCAGTAAACTGCTTCCAAGCAAGTGATCACTCTGCCGATGTGGAGTTTCCTTTTTTCAGGGGACTTTGTTTCAGAAGTTGCAAATTAGGTAAATTCACATTAGAATGTCAGCCAAACCATTTTTCACCACCACTGCAGGGTCAGTGTTATCCAGACAAGTCCCAGTTTGCATGGTTATCAAGAGTTTCCAACTATTGCTTTCTGTTGGAAAGCTCTGAAGAATGTAAGGCAAGGAAAGCTGAAGGGGAGAAAATGGTAAGAGTGACGTCAGAGAAGGAAACCTCCACTCTGATGTACAAGGATGCTGCGTTCATGATCAGAGGACAACAGGCCAACGCCCTCCCTGCAATGTTGTGGTGCTTCTTCCCTATACAGGGCTGCAGTTGATGTGTGCCATATAATTACAAGCAAGCATTTATGGCTATTGTTAAATCAGATGCTATGCTTGGGAATGGGAAAAGGGCAAAGGCAATGAGAGAGATTCATCGTCACTTCTAAAGTCATTGGGATTAGAAGCAGGCATTTCTAGCTTGAGAACAGCATGGGAAACCCTGACTCACAGCATCTGGAACACAGAGTATTAATTTCAACAATTCCTGTAGCCTCATAGGTTCATGACCTATACAGAGATCTTTAGACCTCTGGCTATGTTTGCCCAGTTTGGCTGGGGCTCCACAGGGCAGATGGATGTAGCTCTGGAAGCAGAGCACGTGTCGCCGTCTCCGAGATCTGAGATGCTTGGATCAAATACCTGCTGTCTCTGATTACAATCCTTTGAAAAAACAGTCACCCCACCCCCCACTCTCATCTGTGGTATGTCAGCACAGATGAGGCCTTTTGTCTCTTTCCCCCTTTCAAAGCTTTCTAGGTTATATTTTAGGACATAACCCCAACCCCCACTTTTCTCCCTAGTAGAAGGAAATCAGGAGACACAAACAACGCTTTTGCCCTTTAGATTTTGTGTGTCCCTGATTGTGTAGCCCAGAAGTAGTGCTAAGCAAATGGCAGGCTCACAAACTTGGGTATAGTGGGTCTGTGCTCAGCTTGGTGGTTCAAAAATTGTGCAGGTATGCAACAGAACGAGATACCACAATATTTTAGCTATGATTTGTCACATGGCAACAAATCTCAAGAAGGCTGGAAAAAACCAAGGATGGAGAAAGCTAATAAGAACATAAGAGCCTGCTGGATCAGGCCAATCATCCCTCTAGTCCAGTATCCTGTTCTCAGTGGCCAACCAGATGCCTGTGGGAAACCAGCAAGCTCTTCTTCTCTTTGGCGATCACTTGTAGCCAAGTAAGATTGTCTTCCATAAACACGGTTTTAACAATGAGTCTGTAAATGACTGTGGAGACCAATTCTGGATCCACACGTCCTTCCACAGTGGGGACATTGGTTTCCAGGCGGGAGATGACCACGGTGTGTATTTGCCAAGCATGCCTTCCTCTTAGCACATTTCTCCCTTGCGTCCTGAGTTCGAGTGTCTTCAAAGCCCATGACACCTTTGGTGAAGGCTGTTCTCCAACTGGAGCGCTCGCAGGCCAGTGTTTCCCAGTTGCCAGTGTTTACACTACATTTTTAAAGATTTGCCTTGAGACAGTCTTTAAACCTCTTTTGTTGACCACCAGCATTACGCTTTCCATTTTTAAGTTTGGAATAGAGTAGTTGCTTTGGAAGATGATCATTGGTTTCTAACAACTGCTATTGTGTGCTTGAATCAACTGTGTGAGAAGTGCTATACATTGTTGCTCTTTTGTGTATTGGAGCAGAGCGGAAGTGGTACAGGACAATTCAAGGCAAATCCATAATGTAGTTCATGCTTAGAATTCATTTAGATTTTCACCCTCTCATTTCTAAAGCATTTAAATTGAGCAGCTCTTTAAACTTTTTTTTTTGGCAACTTTTTCCACTGAATATTCTAATATGGGACAAATTTCTTAACGGGTGTAGCTTACTTTTGATTACAAAGCAAGTACAAACTGGTTCTTTGAACTGAGGCCATGTGAAAAAAGAACTAAGGTATTAGAGACACCCTCCTCTCCATAAATTGTTAAAGGAATTGCCACCAAGGGGTAGTCTCACAACAAACTACAAATACATTTTCAAAGAACGTCTTTTCATATTTAATGTACAAAGAGTTCACGTTTTCCTAGAAACGTCTGGCGGATTTGCTTTGAACTTAAGAAGTTGCTAACTTCTTCTGAATCTTGAGTTGCACCTTTGGCAAAGGCTCTTATATTTTCAAAGGTAAGAATCAAAGTAAAAAACAAAAACAAAAAAACACAACCCTCAAAACCCTGGCATACATGATAGTGAAATCATCAGAGTTTAAGGTTTGAAGGAACCCCAAGAGTCACCTATTCCGATGATTTGTGCTAGAGAACTCATACACCAAAACCGTTTCTTACAGATGCTTGCCTAACACCTGTTTGCAAAAACCCTGGAGATCAGGATTGTACCACCACTCTTAACAACTTAACCCAGCCAACCTGCCAGGTAATATGAGTTTCCTTTGCCTAACATTTAACTGAAAACCTTCTTTGTGGTATCGGAAGTGGCGGAGAGCAGATCTTTACTGCCATATATATCTGGCAGCCTGAATGATGGAGTTAGCAATGGAAAGGCTTTTCAGAAGGAATGGAGTATTTAAAGACAAAGAAGAAGTTGGCTTGATGGCTATAGTGTGTAAGGGTGTTTATGGCCTGCCTGTTGCAATGGCCTTCACAGAACTTGCTTCTCCTTGAACTTGCAGTTGCCCAGTAGGACCATCCTTTTAATGCTTTCTTCTCACTCATACCCCTCTCCTTCCTGCATGACGTCCTGCCCCTTGACAGCCCCAGATGTGTCTGGGCTGCTCAGCTGACCTGGAGTGATTGGGACAGTCTCAACCCAACCTGATTAGGCTCAGAATCTGCTTCACAGCCCTGGGTACAACATACAATAGAGACAGGGACTGGAAATATATTTGTCCATTGCTGAACATCCCTGCCAGACTATGCTTTGGGTATAGTATTCTCTTGGCATTTGAAGAGTGACTAGGGATGCCTGTTCACATGTGTGATGTCACCACACCTTGAGCCCAGCATTGCAGTGTGTGTGTGTGTGTGTAGGAGAAATGGTAATGAACTCACATGAGCATAGTTCATGCTGTTAGTCCAATTATTCTCATTTATTCAGTTAGTTTAGGAATAGCCCATATTCTGTGTTGATTGGAATGGGGGACATTTTCCAGCCCAAGGGCTGCATTTGACCCTCAGGCCTGATTTTCCCCATCCCTGATGTAGGTGGTCATCCTTTTTGGGTGTTACAGTTGGGAAGGAACAACACATAGAAAAGGGCTACAGGCCCTTTATATACCAGAATATTAGGTTTGCAGACGTCTTTAGCATATGTGATGCCGGAGTGCAAAAAACTGCCCAGCACCCCCAATTCTTTTTTGGGGGGGGGGCAACTCAGAATTGTTGAGCTTTTTTGGGGGGCACGCAACTCTCTGCTGCAAGTGGAGGAAGAAGAGTAATCCCTGCAGAGGCACACAGGAGGGTAGCTGGCCGGCTGCCTCAGTGCCAGCAGAAGAAAAGCCTGCAGCACTCCAACGGGCTCTGCTCTGCTTGGCAGCAGCTGTTGGCTAGCCTGGCTCTTCAATTCCTGGACTCCAAATCTCAGCCTGGCACCCCTGAGAGCCCAGCGCCTGGGTGCCCCGAACCCCTAGGGCCTATGGGTAAGCAGGCCCTGTTTGCACATTTAAAGTGGATAAAGGGCTCTGTTGCCTTAGAGCAACAAGTTGACTTAAAACAACAACAAAACCTTGACTTTTTAGGGTTTGAAAAGTGAAGATGAAATGTACTGAAGATGGGGGAAGATGTGTAAACACCCTAGAAGCAAATCAGGACAAATGCTCAATAAAGACTGGATCAAGACTAACCTTTGCCTTGTGCAAGCAAATGAGAGTAATGCTCTAAGCAGGTTCTCTGGAAAGCCCTAGAGCTCCCTAATAGGGAAACCCTAATAGGGAAAGCATAGGACACGACTGTATTCTGAAGCAAGATATCCTTAGTCCCAAATATACCTTTTATTGGTTGAGCAGAGACTATATTTCATGTTAATTTCAGACATGTACATTATATGGGTACAGTGCAGGCAACCTAAAACTTTGTTACCAACTCACTTAATGACAAAAAGGAGACTAATTGCGCAGCCAAGCACATGTATTGAAATTCTTATCTCAGTGATGTGCCAACACACATACCCCTTGGGAAGCATTAAGCAGTTAGTCATGGCTCCTTTGAGCAAGAATCTGCTGTGTCAGTTTAGCTTCTAGTTAAAATGTAAAGCTGTCTTGAGTAGGCTGAAAAATAACAGATCCCACTGTCCCTGATGATTTGCATAGACTATACTAGAGGTACATAATAATTAGTAGAGGTAGAGAAACTTAGATTGGATTTTTGAAACACATTTACCAGCTACTTATTGCGAAAGAATGATTGAATTAGTTTGATTTAATGAGGCTAGCTTGATGTGTGTGAGTCTGTGCCACGTAAAGAATCCAGCGACTGATAGGTCATGACTCCATGACCAGCTTGGTCTAAACATGCAGCAGGATGAGTTGGTAGCGTAGACTATGCCACTTTAGAATACAGGTAGAGGATAACATTTTTGAATACCTCACTTTGTTTAAAAACTCAGTTCAAATACAAAATGAATATAGCAGGTTAAAGGCTTGGATAGAACATATTCCCTTAAAATACTAATTTGTGGGGGTTATGATTTTTTGCAGGGGTCACGTAGTGCAGAATTAATATATCGCCGTCAGTAATCTGAAGTGGGTCAGTCCACTCTACCATCTCATTCTCACCCCCCCTTTGTTGTAGGGTTGACCAGGGTTTGCCAGCCTGCCTGAAAGCTACTGACCTGTTTGGTTTGTGGGATCCTTATCACCATTACTGAAAGGGTGGTGAGACAAAACCCACTTTTTCTGCCTCTGGCTGGTTTTCCATGAAATAATTGTTATTTGAAATTGCTTTTCTCGTGCCTGCAGAAACCCACCAAGCACACAAGAGATCCAGTCACCTAACAACTACATGTTGGTAGGAGAAATCCAAGTCGTGGCCCTAAAGTGTTGCCATGCCATGTTACCTTAAAATATGATCATATGGAAAGGTCTCAATAGACAAACTTCCATTAGTGGATCACTGAAGAGAAAGCAGATGGAAAACTGGGATTAAAAATTTGGCACCCCCTTCCATTTTCTATTATGTTATCAAGCTCCAGTCTTGGTTTTTAGCATTCCACCTCCCTTTCCAGGGGTAAAAACCCCCAAGCAAACAGTAATTCTCCAATAAAGAGAGCCGTTTTATGAATGTATGTGTTTCTCAAGGTAAATGAGGATAAGATGTGTATAAAACTTATCTAATCATCTACATAAAATGTTTATGATCAAACATGAGCCAAAGTTTTCCATGAAAGATTATTAACGAAGTACTAATTGCCTAACTATTCTTCAACAAGGAGGTTTTTTATCATATAAAAACCAACCACAGCATGACATTTATCTTACATGTGAACTCTCTCCCATTTCCTCCCCTTTTTTCACTCTACCCTCCCTCAGTTTTTCTGTCTCCTAAATTGGAAAAATAATAAGTTACTTGACTTAAGCAATATTTAACTAACTGCACTAGTCACATGTCATTTAACTGTAACTCAGCAAATCTTCACCTGATGATTGCGAATCTATACCCTAGAACACTTTGTCTTCTAGAAAATGAAAATATTATCACCATCCTGATTATATAAACACAGCAGAAATTGAAACACAGGTTAACACCCCCCTCCCCATTTCTGTTACTCACATACTGTAACAAGAATGGAGAACCTAGGGTTCTCCAAACGTTAGACTTTGGAGCTCCCATCAATCTGAGCTACCATGACCAATGGACATGGATGATGGAAGCCATAGACCAATGACATCTGGAGGGCTGCAAGTTCCCCATCCCTGTTCTATACCACATTAAATATGGAAGCACAATCCCTAGAGGCAGTGTGGTGCAATGGTCTCCTTGGAGCAGATCCATTTAAATTAACCAACCTAAGGTAGTCATGTTTAATAACATTCGTGTGCCTACTGTTGAGTGTGGAATTAAAAATGGTGCTCTTCCAGAGTCACCTGTGTGTATAAGCATTCCAGCTTGCCAGACAAAACAATCCTCCTTTCTCCCTCCCCCTGAGTGCTAATCCAGAGGCTCTCCCAATCCACCCCAGAGCCAATTCTGGGGGGTGCAGGGCATGTGGGGGGGGAGGAGAGGGAGGAAAGACCCATTGTGTAAGTAGAAGTCCTTGCTCAGGGCTTCTGCTGATGGGTCTGGTTAAGTCAGTCCTGCCCTTAGGCTGCAGTCCTAACCCCTGAAAGTGGGCCCTGTTGAGTTCAGTAGGATTGACTTCTGAGTAGGCATGGTTAAGATTGCCTGGTCAGACAAATGTTAAAGATTGAACACTTTCAAAGTGATCTCAGTCTCATCCTCACCTATTAAAATTGCTCTTTGTCAATTTATAAATGATCACATTAGTTGACACAGCTATGAGATTATTGTTTGCAGCCCTAATTTACACATCCCCAGGGGATCGCTTGCAGAAACTTTCCTACATTCAAAATATAATGATAAAACACCAAGAGGACATTCATACGCACAGCTATCTTTTTAGGGACTGGATGCACTTAGGCAATGCATTTGTTGTTTATAGTCTACACGTGTGTCTGGTTTCAAGCTATTCTGGTTCCTATTCATTCACATGCTGGAAAGAAGTAACTACAACCTGAGTGGTCAAAACAATGTTTTTTTTGGGAGATTCTGACAGAATTCCTTGGAATAAGCCGCATTTGAACTCAATGAACTGAACTCATCTACTGGAATCCCATGTATATCACCTTCTATGATGAAAAGAAAAGTAGGATATAAATGGAAGAAAGTGAAATTATACACTGAGGAAGGTTTGCTGTACAAATAACCTTTAGTTAGTTAGTTTATTTTTATTTTTATACCCCGCCTTTCCTTGTTTAAAAACCGGGCTCAGGGCGGCTAACAACAAATATAAAACATTGATTAAAATGAGACTTAAAAACAGAATCAAACAGCATAAAATACAACATAAAATGCGGCATCAATATCAATAAAATTCAAAAATTCAGGGGTCATTTTGGGGAAAAAACCCAAAACCCCAGTCGGTAGACATCAAATGATCAACAGGGCTAACTGGACAAGTTGGTCCTATTAAGGCCAGCAAGGAGACCAGGGAAGAATTTAAATGTGGGGTCCCAGAAAGGGTTTCTTCAGAGAAGAGAAAAGGGAAAAGGGAATAGAGGATCAGGCTAATTCAGATTGAAGGCCAGGCGGAATAGCTCTGTCTTACAGGGCCTGCAGAAGAAGATCAAGTCCTGTAGGGTCCTAGTCTCGTGGGACAGAGCATTCCACCAGGTTGGAGCCATCACTGAAAAAGCCCTGGCCCTGGTGGAGGATAGTCTGGCTTCCTTAAGGCTCAGGACCTTAAACTATTATTATTCATGGACCTTAGGGTCCTCTGCGGGGCATACCAGGAGAGGCGGTCCCATAAGTACGAGGGTCCTTGGCCTCAGGGCTTTAAAGGTCAAAACCAGACCTTAAACCTTACTCTATTCTCCACTGGGAGCCAGTGCAGCTGGTAGAGCACTGGGTGAATGGTAAGGACCCCGTGAGGAGCCTTGCTGCAGCATTCTGCACCCGCTAGAGTTTCTGGGACAGTTTCAAGGGCAGCCCTGTGTAGAGCGAGTTACAGTAGTCAAGCCTGGAGGTGACCGTCGCATGGATCACTATGGCCAGGTTGGGGCGGGAAAGATAAGGGACTGACCGCTTGATACGGCGAAGTTGGAAAAATATTTCAGGTGGTCATTAGTCTAATGATGCGTGCTAGCACGTTGGCCACAATTCTGTGTATGGTAGCCATCTTTTGTTCCCAGCAGTGCTCCTGGGAACTAGCATAGTCACATGCTGACTATTTGAAGTTGTGGAAGTGTGAGAACAAGATGCTGGAGGAGGAGGAGAGGGAAGGTGTCAGGGACTGGGCAGAGAAGGAAGAGTGGTGAAGACCACCTCCCCATTCTGGCCCTTCCAGGGAGGAGGAAGAGGAAGACAGTATAGATTTACAACAGGGGTTTGAGCGAGGTAGCAGCAGATGGGGCAGATGGGGGAAAGCTGGGAAATCATGGAAGAGCTGGAACAACACCCAGTTGACGTGTTGTCATCAGAAAGCATTCCAGACCCTCCATCTCCCAGAACCTGGCGAGCCCGAAAAGTAGGAGAGCAAAGAGCTCGAAGACAGAGGGCATGTAGCAGCATCTGTAGAAGTGATGAAGTGGGAGAGATGGGGGTGTGTGGAGATTCACTCGGGACAACACCATTATCCAAGAGGCTGGGTTCTATAGCCTCTCTGTGTAAGGACTGAAATAAAAAAGGGCTGTAAGAAGCTTTTCCTTGTCTTTATACTTTCCTGGGCAACCAGCCGAAAGCCGCTGACAGCATCCTGACAGAATTGTATTTAAGGGAAAGACAAATATTCTGAAAATTCACGCATCGACTGAAGATCAAGCCAATGTTCGGGGAATGCTTTTGCCCCACTTCATTGAAATTTAAGGAAATCTTTGGGTTGATTACATCTTCCCAGTGCTAGTCTTCAGTATAACATGGACTACCAGTGACGCGGGTGGCGCTATGGTCTAAACCACAGAGCCCAGAGCTTGCCGATCAGAAGGCCAGCGGTTCGAATCCCCTCAACGGGGTGAGCTCCTGTTGTTCGGTCCCTGCTCCTGCCAACCTAGCAGTTCGAAAGCACGTCAAAGTGCAAGTAGATAAATAGGTACTGCTCCAGCGGGAAGGTAAATGTTGTTTCCGTGCGTTGCTCTGGTTTGCAAGAAGCAGCTTAGTCATGCTGGCCACATGACCCAGAAGCTGTACACTGGCTCCCTCGGCCAGTAAAGCAAGATGAGCGCCGCAACCCCAGAGTCGTTCGCGACTGGACCTAATGGTCAGGGGTCCCTTTACCTTTTACCAGTGATGAGAGAGTTAACTATTGGTGATTGATAGAGCATTGGTGAGGATTTGGCAGTCCCAGAACAGTGACATGAAAGAAATGTCTCATAAGTATGGTGGATGTTTAAGGAAGAGAGAGAGTTTGATAGCTGTTTCAGCGTGCAAACCTGAGAATTCACAGTGGCTGTTTGAATTGGGTTTTCAGGAAGCTTTTTATAACCTTGATTTTTATTAGCGTGTTTTCTATTTTATATCCTGCTTTGAATGATCAAACTCTAATAGAAAACAGGACAATTAGCATGCCAAGGGAGCCTTGCAGATAGCACAGGAATGCTTTCTGATAGCATTCTTATCAGCTGGTAATGAGCGCAGAATCTTTTAAAAGTACAGTACAATAACTTGAACTGCCATCCTTCCTCTAAGGGTGAGACTATGAGTAGTAAGAAAGACAAGGCTGTTGCCAGAAGTGGTGGCTCCATCTTGCACTTCTCTCTGTGTGTCTAGGGTAGTATCTTTTAAATCCTCTTATCATTAAGCTGTGCCCTCTTCTATTCGCCCTCCTGTGTCCAGCCCTATCTGCATGATGCACCACTATGTGAGGCCCCTCTGGTTTAGTGGAAGAGCGTGCCTCAGGGATGAGCAACTTGTGACCCTACAAGTGTTGGACTACCATCCCCAACATCCTTGATCACTGGCCACTCTGGCACAGATTTCCCATTCCCTGGTGTAGATGACAAATGCGTATATATATATATATATATATATATACACACATACAAAATTAAAAAGTGTTTTATTTAGAGAGTGAATGACTAAAGGGCCTGTTATTGTTATTGTGTGATTTTAAAGCACCATGGAGGTTACACTTGGTTCAGATATTAAAATTAAATAGAAACCCTGCTCCCAGAACAGGAATGCAATAAATAACACACAATTCTCTCCAAGCTAAATTAATTGGTGGGAGCGGGGGCGGAAGATCGTGGATTTAAATCAGTGGTGTCCAAACTTTTTTCAAAGAGGGCCAGATTTGATGAAGTGAAGGGCTGTGGGGGCCGACCAAAGTTGTTGATTTTATGATTTTACCCCAAAATAAAGTTGTTGAGCTTTTTTTAGGGTTGGAGTTGTTGAGCTTCTTTTGGGACACAGGGGCCGGATTAAACTGACCAGTGGGCTGGATTAGGCCCCCGAAACAGAATTTGGACATACCTGATTTAAATTGAAAACCAGAGCCAAGATGTCCAGTTCAAGCGACGGCCTACAAGCAGCTCTATGTATAGATAATTTTTTCCAGAAGCTCCAAAGACTTCCTCTTTCTTGCACCAAAAGGAAACCCGGGAGCCAGGCCAGTGTTTGGATCGTCCCCACAAATGCCTAAGATGCCCCTGTCTGGTCCTTGTACCCCCCTCTCCTTTGTCGAAAGTGCACAACCAAACTAAGTCAACGCAGGAGGCTCCTTCAGCAGGGGCACTGAAAGGGGACAGAGAGTCAGGGAAACAACTGCATACTTTTGAAATCAACTTTGAGGCTGATGCTGCTACTAGAGTGTTAAGAGGGTCTATATAGTGAGAGAAATTCTAGGCCAAGTAATTTTGCTGAATTAGTTACTTCCTATAACATCTCTCTCTTTCTCTCTGGATGACTTTATGTTTAGTTTAGACCTGGCTTTTAATTATAGCACCTGGAGCTGATCTTTTAACTTAAAAATCCAGATTTATAGAAAAATCAATGGCAATTGTAAAAAAAGGAAAACTTCTCAAAGCTTACTTTTTCTCTTCTGCTGCTCTTCCCAGGAGGAGCTTTGAATTGAATGCAGCTTTCATATTGAATCCTGAGGGATCCTAGATCATTTGGCAAGGAACTCAAGAAAAGTTTTGTTCAGCTGCTATAAGCCTTTCAAGTGAAGATTTGCTTTTGTAGTTTATTTCGAGGAAATCTTAAAAATGCTGTTTGAAAAAGCAATTAATAAAGTTTTGAGAAGGATACTGGGGAGAGAAAACCTACACAAAACCACACATACGCAACACACACAGAAAATAGTATTAGGACAACATTCTTAATCCTGACACTTCTTGGCATGAAACATTTTAATGCTTGAGATTGCAATCCTGACAGCTTGGTAAAAGTCCCAGAAATCATAATAGTTTCTTCTCTTCTGCTTCATGGTGCGCCAAGAACATTTGCAGTTATATTGATCACTGCGTGAAAGTCTTTAAAGTGGAAAGTGGGGGGAAGGCATGACATGGCATCTCCTTTCCTGATATTTGGTTTAGAAGAAGATGTTTTATTTAGAAACAAATGTTGCTGCTGTATGAAAACCACATTTGAAGGCTTCTTAAATAAAACCCTAACCTTTCCCAGCCCTGTAGGCTAAGGAAATGCTCTACACTGAGCTAAATCCCATTCTGTACACACTTCAGTCCTTCCATATCTGTTTTGAGATTTGACAACCAGAATCACAAACACACTCCTGGATCTGTAAGTTTAAAAATGCTCAGGCCTGTGGGATTCTAACAAAAGCCTGAAGGCCAGAAATACATTACATTATAACAAACTACACACGAGCAAGAACACTAGTATTCAGGGCTTGTAATTTGCCCATAACCTAATTCTTAAGCAGATTTCCGTTTTTTAAAAGACTGAAATATATATATACCTGTAAATAAAATAGGAATGAGTTGAGAAAGATTGGGACATGGGAATGTGTTGCATCTGCTGAACACGGGCTCAGGTCAAATGGGATCTCAGAGCCGTAGAAAGAACTTTTATGAGTCTCCTGAGGGAGTAAGAGAGAAATGGCGCTTTCCCCCTCCACCGCCTCCTGGGTTCCAGGCAAGAGGAGATAAGTACTATAAGCTACTCAGAAGAAAAGAGTCTAATTGGCTATTGATTCCATGGATTTAAAGTTAGATGGAACATGGCTTGAGATATTTATTTTTAGAAGTACATCAAATGGTTTTCCATTCCTTGCCATACAGTTTCCTGCTGATAGTTCAGGAGTGACGGTTTGCCTGCTCTAGGATGAATGTTTTCTGGGGTTCACAAGTTGGGCTGGCCTTTCTTGCCAAGCCCAAAAACTGTGGTAACCTACCCCAGCCTATACATTTGCTGGTTTGGCCAAGCAGACTCCACCATCCCCTTTTCCTGCAGCAGTAGCAGCAGCTACGGAAATCCCCTCTCATGTGGGAACGAGATGTGTAGAAGTTGTGTGGGTACCAAGGTGAGTGCCTCAATCAAGTGGCAGCCAAGGACATAGGCTGTTTCTCTTTCCTATGAGAGGGAGCCTGAGGGCTTTCCCCACTTGACGGCCATAGAGCTAAGGAGCTCATGCTCCGAAGCAGGAAAGTGTGGAGACTTGGCAACCAAACCACTCCCAGCTAACCTTGAAGCTAGGAAATGGGTGGAGAACCACCCATCCACGCTCCCACAGCTTCAAAGCTCCAAAGAGTGGTCAGCATATTACATTTGTCAGACTGCAGCAGGTTGCCCACCACAGCAAGCATGGCAAGTGAAAATGTGGAAGCCTGAATGTAGTATTTGTGGAATTGCAGGACGGCTACTTTGTGCTTCATCAACAACTTCAATTATCTGAGACTCTTTCCCCCATTTGAGCAAGGTTCAGAACACCATGTTAACTATTAATGGGATGCAACAAGTCACCGTTTTACAGCTCTTTCAGGGGAGTGTATCATACAAAGAGTACATTGCCAAGTAATGAATTACTTTGATTGGTGTGTGTGTGTGTGTGTGTGTGTGTGTGGTAGCTTGTCAGCAAATGTTCAGAGAACACAAAGTAGTAACACTGAACAGAGGATCTAAGAAAGTATTCATTCTGCATCAGCTAGTGCATTTCTGTGGAATAGGCGCACTTGCAACAAAGAACTGGATTGACTGCTTTCACCGGGGTTGCTAAGAATGTGTTTGTGTCTCTCTAGTGAGTAAAGTGTAAATATGTAGGGTGCAGGACCAAACTATGAACTTGCAATTATTATCACAATCATCATCATCATCATTATTTCCTTATTTATTAATGTAATAGAATTTATATACCTCATGAGTGCAGGAAAAATCTCAAAGTGGTTTACAAAAACCTTCTCCTGAACAGAATCTCTAGGAATAATTGAGGGCTAAGTTGGTAAATTCCAACACACAAACATGCCACATATATTTAACTCATTCACTTATTTTTTGTGGTAAGTTGTGTGTGTGGTGGAGACTAGTTATGCAGAGTGTACATGTTTTAGATGCTGTTCACGTTAAAGAGGCTTGCTGTCATAGCCTGTTATGTTTGCAACCTATACACTGTGAAATATTGTGAAATAGCTTTATAGCTACAGTTCTAAAATTTCAAAGCAAGATACACCAAATGATTCTCTCCCCATGAGGAAATCATCTTATTTTTCACATTAAGAGAAATACGTATAAACCAAGCTAATGAAAATAAAATTAGCATTTCCATCCAGGTGGGTAAGTATCAGTACTTTTCCAACTAGGATAAATTATCTAGAGAAATTCTGTCTTTACAATATATGTTCCTGTTTTCATTTTACATTTTAGCTTGCATTTTAGTAAGTATTTGCTATGAGAAAAAAAACTGTTTCAAAATCACGACAGTATCCTATTCAAAGCCACTCTTGTCAGATACATCTTCAATCTCAGTTGCAGGATTACTTCTGACACATGCCAGTCAAGCCAGAAAGAGCAACACCCACCTTCCTCCTTGACATTTCACATGCTTACAGGTGTAAAGTGCATTGCCTTCATCGTAGCTTTATTTGAATAATTATTAAATACATATCTCTGAAAGAGAAAATAGTCTATAAGTACAGAAACATTTAACAGTCTGTGTTGTGATGCAATAATAAAATATTTTAAAGATCAGACTATAAATAACATATTGTGTGTGTGTGTGTGTGTGTGTAAAGGTATTATGATGTTGGCAGTTTTATTCTCAGTCTCTTTCCTAATGATTCCTAGCATGGAATTTAGCTTTTTTCACAACTGCAGCTCACTGCCTTGACATCTCCATCAAGCCACCCAGTACAATTCCATGGCCCCATTCTCATTCAGCCACCCTCTGTTCAGACCCCATATGTGAAATTAAGATCCGGTCCCCCCAGTTTTATATCTCTTGCTTGCCAATTTCCACCTCAGTTAGAGGAAGGCCCATATCTCAGTGGTACAGCATTTCCAGTCTGGAATTTCCAGGTAGGTCTGGGGGACACAACTTTCTAAAACTTTGCAAAGCCATTGCCAGGTCTGTCACGGTGCTGATAAGCTAGATGGGCCCGTGGTCTGATTCATTATGAGGTAGTGACCCATGTTGCACTCTCTGGAACTAACTTTACCATACAATATTCACAAACCTCTTTCTTGCCTTGCTACGCAAGGAGGACTGTAATCATCACAGCTGCTTAATTAGAAAAAGTCTTTCTGCCTCTGCAGTCTTGTACTTATTTATGTTTACCTTTATATCTTGCCTTTCTTCCAAGGAACTGAAGCTGGCACACATAGTTCTTCCCTGTCCCCATTTTCTCATCACAACAAGGCTGTGAGGTGTCTTAGGCTGAGAGATGAAGACTGGCCCATGGGTCACCCAGTGAGCTTCTTGGCTGCGTAGGAATTTGAACCCTGGTCCCACAGGGCCTTGTCCAACCCTGACACCACACTGGCTCTCATTTTATGGAGTTTCTATTAATTTAAGTCCTACAATTTGTGTGTTGTAAAAGACAATCTGTTGTCAGGCAACAAAAAAAAAAAGAGGGGGACAGTTTTGTTTTGCTTTTTTAAGAAAAACTGGAAGCATTTTAGTCAAGCCAGTTGGAACTCTCATTTAAAGGCTCCCATGAAATGTCCCAATATTATCGCAAGAAATAGCTAATTGTGTCCCATAAAAAGGGGAATGATACAAGGCGTAGCATGGCACACTTAGCTGGTTTTATGACTCCTCCCATTGCAACACATAAGTGATATAGTAAAGAGTTAGCACTTGGATTATCAATTACTGATTGCCAGAAAAACAGAGTGGTTCACATCTTCTTTCCTGGAGAAGTAGTCACTTTCAAGGTTTATGTTCAATGATGAGGATCTCTGAGTCCGTCCTGGACATGGAAATGGCAAATTATACAGAAGTCTTAGATCCCAGTTATACTAGTCTGGAGTTTGAAACAATGCAAGTCTTGTATAATGGCAGTGGTGAGTTTGTATCTTCTCAGAGATGAAAACATGAGTGTTTGAGTGAGCAAGAAAGAAAAAGAAATGAACATTATAAAAGGGTTTTACTCTTAATTGTGTAGCTAGGGTTTGCTTTTGAAAACTGAAATTTTGAAAATTATTTGTGACTCCACTTCATCTCAAAATGCATGTTAATAACATTATACCATCTTTATGGTACGGAAAATAAAATGGCAGTTCTGCATAATAAAGTAACTGAACAGGATTGTCATCGGTCAGTTAATCAAACAAAGAAAAATGTTCTTTCAAGCAGAGGAGGTTCTTTCTGTGTTTATTTTATTTACTGTAAGATGCATGAGTAACTATCTTTGGCAGTTTGGGAATGAGAAATATTTTTGTACATGATATTTTAAAATGACAGTTAAGATACAAATGTCCAGAGGGAAAAATAATGGGCTGCACAGAAAAAGTATATTGATGTCTATTTGCAGCTGATAAGTTTAATATACGGTAATATTTCCAGAGCGTTGATATGCAAACTGGACTGAGTTGTTAATCACAACAACTCTCTCCAAGCTAATGGTTAGCTGGGACAACTTTTAGCTATTTGGTTAAAGTCACTTTTTAACTTTGGCTGGGTAGAAATTGCTGACACAAAGAGTGCAATAAGAACTCGTGAATGGGATATGAAGCAAATACTATTTAACTTTTCATATAAAAGCAGATTAACATGTTTGGACATAATGGTTAAATCTTTTAGATCATGTTCCTTTTAAATAAATGTTCATCCTTTATACCTTGTATCAAGACACTTAAGACTTAAATAGTGCTAATTACATTTAAAACTATATTCACACAGAGTTGATCTCTTGGTATTTACTGGTATTTATCAAGGTGAAAGCAACAAAACCATTTAATGAAAGAGAAATCTCCCCATACTTTTGAGAGTGTACAATCGCTTTGCTTTATTTAAAATTTTAGCTTTTGCATTGGATTACCTGTACTATACATTGATGCTGTGATTTAATAACAGAATAAGCAGAAGTGGAGCAATATTGGAAGCCAGAAATTTTGGGGAAATACCAGTCAACTGCCAATTTAAGTTTGATTATTTGTTTTCATAATTTTGATTTTTGAAGAGATAAATAAATTTTTCATGTAACTATTAATTTAAGGTTACCAGATTTTTTTCAATGAATCTGGGGACACTTTTCAACTTCAATGGATTTTGTATGGGGACTGATTTGTAAATCCGGGGACTGTCCCCGGGAAACGGGGATGTCTGGTAACCATATATTAATTCTGGGTAGAATTCTTTAGCCGTTGCAACCAGTAAGACTTCCTACATTCATCAAATGGTGGGATTTAATTGAACATAGCTTCTGATACCCCATTAACCTCGGCATGCTTCCTACTTCCTGTCCTTTAAAAAATATTCACAACAACATTATCCTCACAACATCGAAAGCAAACCCCAACATGCTTCCACTGAATTCTTTGAACAAAACCACAGCTGAATTACTTACAATTATGTAAGTGTCTTAATGTAGTGAAATTGTTGCATAAACATTTTTCTGGTTGCAGAATATAAGAATGCTTTCCAATCGCAGAATTCCAGCAAGGTTTCCAAACCAGTATGTTCCATCAGTAAAAACATCTAACTTCCAGCAGCTGAAATCGGCCCATCTGGTTGCTCCTTAACTGGATTAAGACTGCATACTTCCACCAAAGAAACAATGGGTCCTGTCACTTTAACCAGTGGCAGTCACCTGCCTCAGAAGGTTGAATCGAAACACAAATCCTAAACAGTGGTGCCAGATGCTGTCTAAGCTGATCAAACCTTTTTAGCAACAAGATCCTTGGCTTTGGGGGGAAAGCCCAAAAGCTTCACTATATAGCTTGATGCTAGGGCTATAAGTTTACATGCAGACGGTCCTAGGCTCACTCTACAGCATTTCTTGAGTATCTGAAACCATTGGCTCCTGCTCCCAGTAGGCGAGGGTGATTTGCCCAGTAATGTAGGAAGTGAGCATAGACAGTACTGAGCTTAATAAACCAATGACCGAACTGCATATAATACAGCTTCCCCTGTTTCTGTTTGTGTGGATGGAGGCCCCTGGATATCACAGCTTTCTTCCAGGGAGTCAACCATGTTGCTGGCCACTGTCAAGTCATCTGAAGATTAATGCACAGTTAATGCATACCAGCCTCCGATAAAATGTTGCCTTATGGCATTGTCCCTCAATTATTTAAACTAACAAAGATATTTAAGTAGTTAGCTACACATGCAGAGCTGGGCAATTGTGTCAGTACTCCCAACTTCTATTACAAGCCATGGAGTTTAAACAAAAAGCATTCGTTGTCATGAGCTTCATAAATTCTGACAAGTGGGTTTGAAGGCATTCATTAGAATAACAATCAGGGGTAATTAGGCATGTTGTGTTTTCTGCAGTCCTGGGATGGTGAATGCTAATTAAAAGAGAAGGCCAGTAAGCCCCCACCCGGATGGTGTAACTTAGCCACATTGCTGTATTCCTCCCCTTCAAGGCTCTACACCGAACTGTACATCTTGTTTTTCCCTTTCCTCAGACAGTTGCTCAGCAGAGCCTCTCGGCATGAACACTGCAGACAGTGGAATTGGTGGCCTTTGTGCAATATGCGGAGACAGAGCAACAGGCAAGCATTATGGCGCCTCCAGTTGCGATGGATGCAAGGGGTTCTTCCGACGCAGCATACGAAAGAATCATGTTTACACCTGCAGGTAGGAGAAATAACCCCATCTCAGAGGTACATCATGCAGTATTTATTTATTTGAACCTTTACTATCATCTCTTTATAAAACCAGGAGGGATTCCAGAATCCAATATACAGTGGTACCTCGGGTTACAGACCCTTCAGGTTACAGACACTTCAGGCTACAGACTCCACTAACCCAGAAATAGTACCTGGGGTTAAGAACTTTGCTTCAGGTTGGGGGCCACTAGGGGGCGCATTGGAAGATGGCCGACAATACCATCTCTCCGACCCACACGGGGTAATTAAGAGGCTGTTATGGGAGTAGACAGCCTCCCTTGTTGCCCCAAGGAAATGGGGAACACTGCCCTTGCCTGCTGTGCCCATAAATCAGCCCCTAATTTGAAAGAAGGGGGTGAGGGCCCTAGGCAGAATGCCCCCATGTGGACATTGGCTCTCCTGGACGCTGTCTCTGATCGCGCACTAGTTGCAGCAATTTGGAATAATTAATTACAAAAGAAGCAAATGCACATATTTCAATTGAAGAAGGGGAGTGAAGTCTGCTAATTTAAGTGACCTCTGCGAAAGAAGACGACGGGCTGGAGAAACAGGAATATTTTACAATGAAGATACACCAAAGGCTGGGTATGTTGACAACAGGACAGAATGGGGGGGACGGACCTTTTTTACTTTCCTTCTATGTGATTTACAAGAACCCCTCCTCATTAGAATCGTCGGTTGAACTGACCCAAGCAGGATGATTAAGGTCTGTGTGGAGATAAACTTTAACCAAAAGTATGCTTTATAGAGATCGAGAAGCAATAAGAGCTTTTGGGAATGGCGCAGCAATTAACTCGGAGTCGCCATCTTGCCAAAGGATTTATAGCCGGGAGGAAGAATGGACTTGTTTTCAGACTGCATTCCTAGTGAATCTCCTCAGAGGTTTTGAGAAAGGAGGCAGATTGGTGAAGATTAATGACGCTAAGACTGTTTTGATGTATGGAAGTGATGTTATATGGAAAACGTCTGGATATGGCTACTGGATAAAAAAATAATATCCACGCAGGATTACAAACTGTTCTAACCAGCTTGCGGAGACTATCAGAGGTCACAAAGAGAAAGGAAAAATATATGAAAATAACAACAAGAGATGTAGAAAAACAATAAGAAAGGACTGGATAGTACTGTGAACATCATAAGGTTAGATTTGTGGATATTAAAACAGCAGTAAGAAGCAAGAAGTTGATTGGATCCCTTCAGAACTTGAAATATGGGTACCCCCAACAAATATTTAAAATTGTGTAATTTGGAATTTATGTAATTTGGTTTGATTTGATGTGATTGGTCGGTTAATAAAAAATTATTCTTAAAAAAAAGAACTTTGCTTCAGGTTGCGAACAGAAATCGTGCAGCGGCAGCAGGAGGCCCCATTAGCTAAAGTGGTGCTTCAGGTTAAGAACAGTTTCAGGTTAAGAACGGACCTCCGGAACGAATTAAGTTCTTAACCCGCGGTACCACTGTATTGAGATGACAGGTGTCATATTTAATGGGAAGTGATCATGCCTTATTTGGTAGAGCACTCACTTTCCATGAATAAGGCCCCTTGCATCTACAGTTCAAAAGATGCGGCTGCAGGCAGTGCGCAAGAGACCCCAGAGAGCCATTGCCAGTCAGAATGAACAATACTGAACTAGATGGGCAAATGGTCTGACCATGGTATTGGGTACATCCCGATGTTCCCTCACCACGACACAATGCCAAGACTAAGGGCCACTGTCACAGCTTACACAGCCCCCTCCACATTGGGGGAGCTGAAGGTCTGCATCAGGGTTCCTACTCTCAAGTGAAAAAAGGGGAAGATCAGGTTTCTTACTTGTGCAGTTTCTCATTGCAGAAGTTCAGACCCTGATGCATGGAGTGGTGATGTAAAGGCCAGGAAGTGATGTAAAGGCCGGGAAGTGACCTCCTCTTTTGGCAGGTGTGTTCTTCAACACACTGTTGACTCCATAATAATGCCTCAGTGGTGGATTTATACTGGACCATCCACTCACCATTCTGCTTTTTTGGTTGTCCTGCGGATGCTATCCAGATGTCACCACAGTATTGCCATCCTGTGCTATGGCTTAACAAAAGCATGCCAGAAAATAAACTGGAGTTTTTGTGGTATGAAAAGTTACAGGGTTTCGGTGGGAAGTTACGGGACATGCACTGATTGGAATTTAAGTGGCATGTCTACCCTGAAACTTTTGCAGGCACAACCACGCATAAAAATGGGATCACATACTGTATAACCATCCCAATACCACCCCGAGCACAGGTAATCATGAATGCACAATAAAAAGGAGATCTGGCAGTTACAGGAGGTTTAAAGCTTGTTCAAATGAAAATATGTTTTTGAAAAGCAAGGCAGAATGGGCAGTGGCAGATTTCATTAGCAAACAGCTCCACAGGATTGAACCCATTAAAGGTTTTACGTTATGGGGAGTTGCTGTCTGTGAAATGATCTGTAGGTACCAAACTTTTGCCAATTGGGAACAGCCAAAGCAAGTTCAATCACATGATTTTCTTAACTGGGATGAGGGCATGTACAGGAACAGATCTGGATCCAAAAATCTAGAACTGAAGGTAGACAACGGTCTACCCCTGCAGGCAACTCTTCAGTCTGATTCCAGTCCTGGCAAGACTTGAGCCCCCTGGCTGTTCAGCTGCCCACTGCCACTTCTTAACAGCAAGATTCTGCTATGGGTCCTTTTAATCGTGTCTCTTGTCTCTTAATCTTTGCAATGCTCCGCTGTTTGAATGCAGAAGAGTTTCCTTGCAGAGTGGTACTTGGCACATTAAAGATGAAACTGTTTTCCTCAGCAGTCGTCTGCAATCCTCGACCAAACCATTTTCATTTGCAAATGGCAACAAATGTAGATTTTGATCATCAGATATGGCTTCACAAGCAATGCAGTCTTGTGAGGTTCCTTCCTATCCTTGGCTCTATTTTGTCCCTCTATCTCTGTTCTTTCCCCCCTCAAGTCTGACTAGATCTGTGCTACGAGGTGCCCTCTGGCATTTCCTTTTATCCCCTTCTCGTTTCTCAGGAAGGCTGCCTAGGACTGTTGCCGAGGTTAAAAGGTACTCTCTCTCCTGCTTTTACCATCACTTGACTTATCGAGATCTTCAGTTATCTTGAGACCTTCGGATACAAAGACATCTCCGTATGTTAATATTGAAATCCAGGAGAACCTCAGCATTTATCAGTGTGTACTTGATTTCAGTCCTTACACCTGGAAAATAAAGCAATTTAACTTGCCTGATTGCATCAGTCCATTTTAAGCGCAGCAGCTCTAGTTAATTGCACCTCCACAGCTAAAATGATGGTTTAACCTAGACAAACAGCCAAAAACTGTTTCTCTGGCTCGGGCATCCTCCTTCCTTGCCCCATAATTACTTGAAAGCTTGAAAGCCCTGCACTCTCCCTCCCAAGACAAATGTGTTATAGGGTGTCCCATCGCTTCAGGGGAAGAAAACCTTCCTAGGTGCGCCAGTGCATCTAAGCCGGGGATATCACCTCGTTTTGACATGGGTATCACTTGCAGAGTTTGTTTTTAAATTTGGTTAAGGCCCTCTTTCCTATGGATCCAGTGGATCCATGGGAAAAGTCAATCAGTGGTGGGTAGAGCTAGAGACCATACAGATACAGTACTATGATACCATTTTAAACAGTCAGTTCTTCCCCCATAGGATTCTGGGATCTGTAGTTTGAAGGGTGCCAAGAGCTGTTAGGAGACCCCTATACTCCTCACAGATCTACAATTCTTAGAGTGGTTGAACAAACAATCCTTCTTCACAGGGAACTCTGACAATTGTAGGTCTGTCAGGGGAATAGCCGTCCCCTAGCAACTCTCAGCACCCCTAACAAACTACAGCTCCCACAATTCTTTGAGAGAAGCCATGACCATTTAATATTGTATCATAGCACTTTCAGTGTATGGTGAATGTGGCCAGAGTCAATAGCAGGGTTAGAATTGCTTTATTGCATGGTGTCCCACCCCATTCTTTCTCTTCTTCTCTACCTCTGCTCACTCACACAGACACACAAGTGCACATACACTCACACATGAAGCAGAAGCAGTTCTCAGAGGGGCAGCCTGGATAGCAAGAGTGAGCACACAATGTCTGAAGAGCTGAGTGATTGTTCGTGAAATTTGGCCTAGGGCCACATATGGCCATTGGGCTGCACTCAGTGTGGTGTAGTGGTTAGAGTGCTGGAGTAGGACTTGGGAGACCAGGGTTCAAATCTTCACTCAGCCATGAAGGCTGAGTAACCTTGGACCAGTCACCATCTCTTAGCCTAAGCTAATGCATTATAAATGTAGAAGTACATTGGGATAGCTCAGTTGCTAAGAACATGAGACTTTTAATTTCAGCGTTGTCGGTTTGAGCCCCACATTGGGTGAAAGATTCCTGCATTGCAAGGGGTTGGACTAGATGACCCTCATGGTCATTTCCAACCCTACGATTGTATGAATTCATCAGTATCAAAGGCTATAGCCAGGCTCATTCCAGTAGCTTCCATGAACAAAGGCAGTCTACCTTTGAATTCCAGATGTCAGGGACAAGAAACAGCAGAAAGATGTTTCCTTCAAGCCTTGCCTGAATGCTTTCTACAATATCTGGGGGCCCCCTTGGAAATCACGTGACAGAGCAGACAAATCTTTGCTCTGATCTTACAGTGCTTTTCTTTCATTTCCTATTCCTGACCATTTGCCCCAGCAGGATTGGATCAAGCTGTAAGAAAATTCATCCTAAACATTCACGAGACTGGGAGCAAAATTTATATGCCTTGCGTTCACAAGATGATGAATAACCTAATGGGATTTTACTTGCCCATCACAAGGAATTATTCCGTAGAAGAATGGCAAAGAGAAATGTTTCAAGGCTGATTAAAGAAAAAATACCACTGAAGGTTGATAGTTGGAGACATTGTTTTGACAGTGCCCATTAATTGTTTCAGCCGTGCTAATCAGGACCCTCCTTTACTTGCACTCTAATATATTTACCCTCGATTCTGTCCAACAGATTTAGCCGGCAATGTACTGTTGATAAGGACAAGAGAAATCAATGCAGATACTGTCGTTTAAGAAAGTGTTTTCGCGCTGGGATGAAGAAGGAAGGTAACTTTTTTTTAACCTCCTGTTCAGAGGAAAACACTTCATATCAATTAGCAGGAAACAAAATCTATAAGCAAATACCTAATGAATATATATTGGTTGTGCCTACAAAAGAAGGAGATTTTTATAGCAGTCGAAATATGTCTTCAATAAGAAGTCAACTTGCTATGTAATTTTTGGTTAATGCTAAGATTTGACACATGGGTCATTTGAAAACAAAACAAAGCATGCTTTCCTCTAGTTTTGCATGCTACGAGATATTCTTTGTTTTAGTTGAAGTTGATAAAAAAATTTTTACTCTTCTCAAGTCATTGTGGCCTCATGGACAAAGTGGTGGATTTAGGCAGGTAAGATCTGAGTTCACACTGGCTCAGCTGTAGTTGGGTGACCTTTCATACACTCTTGTCCTCATATCTTCATCTGTAAAATTGTAATAGTAATAGGAAACATAGGTTTGTTGTGAGGCCTCTCATATTATCAATACTATTCCCAATTTATTGCAAGCTACCTTGTACATCCAGTTCTTTAGAAATGGGACAGGAAAAAAAGAACCATTGACATAGATGGTTCTATACAGACCTCATTTCTATGCAGAAGGATGTTTAAAAGCAGACTCATTAGTTCTCCTATATTTTAGCATGCCTGGAAGTAGGCATAGATAAACTATGGAATTCACCCCAGAAGTAGTGGTGGCTGCTGGATGACTTTAAAAGATTCGACAAATTCATGGAAGATAAGAATGTTGATGGATACTAGCCACCATGGCTGCACTTTGCCTCCATGGTCAGAAGCAATATTCTTCTAAATTCCAGTTGTAGGAAACTGCAGGAGGGGAAATTGCTGTTGTGCTCAAGTCTTGCTCGCTGGCTTCCAATGGGCATCTAGTTGACCACTGCGAAAACAGGATGCTGGAGTCAGTCGGCCACTGGCTTGGTCCAGCAGGGCTATTTCTTTGTTCTTATGTTTCCTGCATGGAAAGATAAAAATTGAATTTTTAAAAAGTGGGGTTCAACATTCCATACGCTGCTGTTCCACAGAGGATGCTTTTCATTTTTTCTTCTTTAAAAATTGTTTTTGGGATGGAGACATGTGACTCCCAGTGTCCACTGCTCTTTGTCTACAAGGGGAGCTTTTAGCCCTCAGCATGTGTTGAATTCAATATCATTTTGGATAGACTGAAGGAGCTTCGTTGGAAGGCAGCTTATATAGTCACACTGAACAAACAGACAAATCCCATCGGTTCTGAATTCCAGGTGAAAACATTGTATGGTGGTTGATTTTTAAGTCAAAAGGAGGTGGTAATGCTGAAAATCCCAAGGGATGAGGGATAATAATGCCAAGCTTGATTCTCCTTTGCAACTGGCATATTCAAAGTAGAAGTTAAATTTCAGGCTTCTTGCAATGTTGTTTTGTTTTGCCCTCTGTGGGTGTGTGACAGACAGACAGAAATTGCTTAGTGCTTCCTTGGAAAAGACCCTTCTCTTGCTGTAGAAGACTTACACGCAGCTATACTTGTAATTTCAGAAAAGTACTCCCCAAAATTCTCAAGTGCATCCCTTTGAAAACAGAAACATGACATATTAAATCACATCAATAAGATTTGCTTAGCATCAAAGAACTGCAATTTAAGCTAAGGCTGCACTTCTGTACCCACCTACTTGAGAGTAAGCCCCATTGAGCAGCCAGGGCAATCCAGAGCCTGATTGGGCAGAGGTGGAGAGAGATGGAGCTATGGAACCACTTCCATATCTGCAGACTTGTTTCTCATGTCAGCCAAGGCACAAGGATGGGAGCAGACATTTGGACCAAGATTGGGCTTGCTGCCATCAAGGAGCAGGAACAGCTCAGGATCCTGTGGCTCCCAGACCAGCTCAGTCTCCATCCATTTGGAGACTTTCCACAAGCTACCAGTAAGGACTGACACTGGTTCAATTCTTTGGGTGGAGGGACACTAATCCAACCCCTGGTCCAGCACAAAAGTGGTTTGGGTTGCACACTTGGCACCATAAAACCTCAGTCATAGTATTTGCTTACTAGTTTTATCACTGTTCTTTATATGTAGATATGACTTTGTAAAATCCAAGACTTTTTAAGTTTGTAGAAAGTCTTGCATATATTTGGCAGGGCTTTCCTCTTTTCCCACCATTGCAGCCCTCAAATGAAAGTTAGTTTCAACCTCTCCCAGCTTATAAAGGATCACGAGAGCTTAGGAACAAAATTATCTGGGCACTAGGAGCTGTGCCAGTGTTCCTCCATTATTGCCTTTGTGTTCTTCCTTGAGTCCTTCAAGCTAAGGAATACCATTTCATTCTATTTTCCTCATAGGCTTATTACATTTTTTTAAACAAAAAACAAAACAAAAAAAAAGGCTTTTCAAACCGACTAGTAACAAACTTTGAAGTTGAATTATGTGCAGGCAAAACATTTATTTCTGAAAAACTTCTCATTCTTTTTTTAAAAAAATGGTTTGTAATGCATTCCCACCATTTATTCAGGGTGATCAAAGTAGTTAGAAGCCAGTCCTCTGGTATAATTTTATATTTAAAGCATAACTACATTTTGTTGTTGAGGTGCTGAGTTAAGAAATGAAAAAAGATAGCTTTTCTCCAGTTAAAAGAGACTGGAGCATCATTCTTGATTCACGTCTACGTGACCATTTATCACTTAGTGTTTATCACTGTACGACATTTCTTATTATGACCTTAATAAAAGGCCCATCATGAATGTCCTTGGCTAAGAATCTAGTGCGCCTTCACTATAAAGCGTGTTCATTCTTCATATAAACTGCAGAACACTATATAGTGCACTGAGCACATTTTTATTGAAGCATTGGTGCTGCCTTCTCAACTTCTCTGATGCAGATTGCTTCCTTAAAAATAACAAACGGATCATTGGAAATACAACTGATGCTTTTATAAAAGGTTATGAGGTTCTGTGTGGAATGGAGAAATACGTTGATCACAACTCTTTTCTCTCCTTGATATGACCTTGGATATAAAATAGGTTCAGCAAAGCTGATGGGTAGCCTTATTTATCTCTTTCATTTTTGCATTAAAAGGGACACCTTGTTACAACACAAGCTTTGTGTTCCACCATGCCATTCTCTTTCGAAAGGCTAGTATGCTATTATTTTTGCTCCATACTATCTGCTCCAAACCCAGATACTAGCATCTCTCAATGCTACATCCTTAAAAATGAACTCTGACTGGAAGACAGTTGTTTTTGAAAGCTGAAAGTGGTTTTAGAGAAGTTTCACATTAGGAATGGAGTTGTGTTATTTTTTAATCCACTTTTTAAAGCAAACTTCCCTAAGTCACTAGTCCCGATATTCAGACTGAAACATATCTATCAGTGTGATTGCTTATCCTCCCCCAAAAAATCCATCAGCTACTTCAGCAGTTCAAAAGCTTTGTAAAGAAAAAAGAATGCTGGGGCAAAGAAGGAAAGGTTCAGACCTATCTCTAAAAGTTATGAGACTTTTTTGACTTCAAAATTTCTAAAGTTGAAATGGTGTTCTTTGTAAACAGAAATTATTTTAGGACCGTTTCTTATAATGCTTATATAAAATGTTATAAAAATGTTTGCCATTGCTCTTCCATGAATTTCTGCAATAATGTCATGACCAACTTTGGACATCTTTGGTTCGTACAGTTTCTTAATAACACTTTGACTGCATACAAATCATAACGAGGTAGGACTTTTGGCTTATCCTACAATGTTTCTCAAACTTGGGTCTCTAGCTGCTGTTGAACTACAACTCCCACCATCCTTTGCTAGCAGGTCAGGAATGATGGGAGTTGCAGTCCAACAACAGCTGGAGATCCAAATTTGAGAAACACTGTAACATGTCGCAAACAAACAAACTGTCTGACTGCTCTAGCATTGCCCCTCCCCTGGCATGAGCAAGATAGACAAATCACAAACCTTTGACTTCCTATTACATCTAGATCAAGGAACATGATTTGTCGCTCATCAAGAAGCCACAATTGCTAGCCAGCCTCAAGCCATGGTTTATTGTTGGTTTGCTGCTTCTTTTAACTGGCTTATGTTGGCTTGCAGATTGTGTTAGGGAGAAGCAAACCACAATCCTGCATTTGTACATAATGGCAAACCAAGGCTTCTAGGTTTCTTCCTCCTACTCTTGCCAGGGGCGGAAAAAAAGAAGGTGCGATTAGGCAGCACCCTGCTCATTCCTGGTAAACCACGATAAGCTGGAAACTCTCGCTTATAGTGATATGTAAACGCTACCTTTGAAAAGCTGCTCAGTAGCATGGCCTGCATGCAAACCAATGTGCAATTTTGTTTCCTTTCCCAGCTGTGCAAAATGAACGGGACAGGATAAGTACAAGACGAAGTGCATCTGATGGCAGCAACATTCCTTCTATTAATATGTTGGCCCAGGCTGAGTTGCTTTCTCACCAGGTACAGCAATCCACCATCATGGCGTATAGGATCCCCGTGACCTTTAAAATGTTCTCTGTTTTATACATGCACCTATCCTTTTGCATTTGCAATACAGAAATGAGAAGGGAAGATTTTCTCTAGAAAATTATAATCTGAATCAGCTTCTTTTGCAATAAGCTTTATACATCTTTCACTTTCAAAATACTTAGCTGCCTGATTCGGGTAGAGCCATTAGCCCTATTGGGTGCGATTTGTAAGCTATCTGAAGAAATGTTTCACTGACCACTTGGAATACTCCTGTTGAAGTTAGTGAAATATCAGGGGCTGAATGCTTAATTCTAAAGGTCTACTTTCTTCTGTAACAGTGAAAACAGAGCTTGGTTTGTGGGGTGCTAAGGGAAGGAGGTATAGTGTTGGTTTTTGACACTCAGTAGGAATATTCTTATGACCAACATTATTTCTGTGATTAAGTTGTTTTAAACTGTTTTTAATGTAGTATTTTAATTGTTTGTAACCTGCCCTGTGACCTTATGGTGAAGAGTGAGTAAACAACAACCAAGAAACCATACAGAACAACTTCTAACTGTTTATATAATTCAGATCCTGCTTGTCTTTGATGCCAGATGTTCCTCATCTGAACCGCCATTTTTTCATCCTTTTCTCTTAAGGTTTAGCAAAGATTGTTCCTCTTTTCCTTTGCCTGATATTCAGAAACCCCATTACTTTTGGCTCCCACCTTTGCTTTCTCCTCCTATAACTCCTTGACTTTGTAGTGTGGATGCAGAAGTGACTGTCATGAAATGAAAAGTCCAACAGTACAATCCTATGCATGTTGGTCCCATAAAGCTCAAAGTTCAGGCAATTGCGTAGTGTAGGACTACATCCCACATCTCTCTCACCATGCATATGAACATGATATACTCATCATTGGGTGTATATATGGGCTAGTATATACTCACTATAAACCTATTTTCTGATGGTATGGGGGGTTATAATGGGTGACTGTAGGCAGACAAAACTTTATTATAAAGACTGCTGTAATAATGTGAGTTCATAATTTCTCTCCACTATAACCAGCTCCCTGTTTCAAGCCCCTGTGCTGGTACTGACATCAGCGTTAAGAAAATTGCTGGCATTAGTGAAGTATGTGAATCTATGAGGCAGCAGCTCCTGGTGCTTGTAGAATGGGCAAAATACATTCCAGCTTTTTGCGAACTACGGCTGGATGATCAGGTATGGGATAATGAGCTGAGAAGCCACAATAATGGTTCCGTGTTGAAGGCTCTCTTTTCACAGAAGACACTTCTAGGATGTTAACATCAAGGGAAGTATATATCATGGGGGAGCTGGTTCTGGCATATATACAGTTAGATTCAAGAGAGTGGGTAGGCTTGGGTCCAGAGAAGATCATGCCACACAGGAGAAGCCAAGCAAACAAGCCCAGGTGCAAACAAATCCACAGTAAGCAACTGAGATCTAAGAAAAAAGAGGGGAAAGAATCAGGAAAAATCTACCTTTTATGAGACACAGTCAAGTTACTCTATAAGAAAAAAATGCCCAAAGGCCTTTTCCTACCTGCTTTCAACAGGGGTATTGGGAGGTGGTGGGCAATTCTTGTTCGGCCTCCACTAATCTGGTGCCTTCCACATGTTTTGGACTACAACTCCCATCAGCCTAACCAGCACAGGACTATTGTCCAAAGCACCTAAGAGAGCACCACGTTAGTTGCTCTAGGAACAGCTGAGGGACTGAGTCTCAAGGCCTGATTTTCAGGACGTCATCAGGTATTGCACATATTCAGAAACTGGAAACAAAGCCAAAACAGAGCATCTGCTTATCCAAATAGACAAACTTCCATTGTATTTCCAAAGTGGAAACCTCTTGTCTTCAAGAGGGAGGGAGGGTGTCTTCACATAGTGTCAACAGTTAGTATAGGTGATTCATCTTATTCCACTTGCTTTATTTTTGAAGTTACCATTGTTCTATGCACATTATTTTTCCCAAGGTTGCCCTGTTAAGAGCACATGCTGGAGAACACCTTTTGCTTGGAGCAGCAAAACGCTCTATGCTTTACAAAGACATTATTCTTTTAGGTAAGTTTATCTTTATTTTACTTTTTACAACACAGTCCTGGGCATATTTACTGTCTCACTGAGCCTGATTCAACTAAGTAGGTGTGCTAGCGGGAGCTGGCTCATGAGTCCTGCTAGGACAATGGGACATTCCCCATCCTCCTCCAGCCCAAATTGACTCAAATGTGGTATAGAGAAACACTCCCCCCCCACACACACAGGTGGAGGAGATGGGAGATTATTCCATCAGGCTTGCTGAAATATGTTGATGGAGTGACTGGAAGAGCTTGGATCCTTTTCACGGTGTTATTGGGGGTTTACTCTTAGTAATTGTACATAGGATCATCACCTAAGACACATCATGCTCTAACTAGGGATGAGTGAATCTGCCAGTTTTGGTTTCTCAAAGTTTCTCCTTTTCCCAATTTTCAGTTCTCAACATTTCCACACCAGTAAGCAACTTTTAAAAAATAAAGTCATCAGAATTTAGCACAAATTGCAAGGGATGGCACTGTTTCAGTTTCATGTTGATTCAGAAATTGTGAATTAAGGAGGTTTGCTTTGCCTTGTGAACTGAACTTCTCCCCATCCATAGCTCTGACCTTTCCAATTCATTATCCACAGCATTGTATCTGCTATTCAGGTTTGGAGAGAGGCTGATATGTTGATGACAAAAGCTTAAGGTGTGGCCATGCTGGCTGTTGCAAAGCCCAGTGCTATATAGCAGCATTAAGTCAGTGGGGTGCCCTCCACATGTTCTCACCATCCTTGACTATTAGCCATGCTGGCTGGCCCTGATGGGCTCTATGTAGTTAGCAACATATGGAGGGCACCATGTTAACTACCCTGGTATATGGGATTCATGGTAAGTATATTGGATTCAAAAAGGGAAGATTCGGCCACCCATCTGTCTTAAGATGAACCTTGAAGATTTTGCTCTCCTTCTTGGTGGATATATTATGATTATGATTTCTCTGCTGGCATATTATTTGTGGAAATAAATATTGCATGTGTGGAGAAAGGCCTTTTGTGAACACATTCATTTACATAAATGCACTATAGAAAATGGAAGCTGAATATGAATTTTAAGGCTACTTACATTGTCAGAAGAGTTCTGGTTTTGTTTTTGCTTTTTTAGGTAATGATTTTGTAATCCATCGCAACAGTTCTGAAATTGAGATCAGCCGAGTAGCAAACAGGATACTGGATGAGATAATTCGACCATTTCAGGAGATCCAAATTGATGATAATGAATATGCTTGCTTAAAAGCAATTGTCTTCTTTGATCCAGGTATACTTCAGAATCACACACACACACACACACACACACACACACACACACACAATGTGATAGAGATAGCATAGTCTTAGCTGAAAAGCTGAAGATTTTCCTATGCTAATGTTGACCTTGATGTGGTTCCTAATTTAACAAAATGTGTCTTTGTCAGCCTTCCCCAACCCAATGCTCTCCAATCTTTGGACTATGACTCCTATCATCCAACAACAGTTAAAAACAGAAAAAGTTCAAAATGACCATCAGTAAACCACTGTCAAAGGATATAGTCTTGATTGCCTACATAGGCCTGGCAGAATAGGATTTTTTAAAGCAGATGTTTAAAAGTTGGCACAGAAGGCACCATCATGATAGTAGAAAGATCTGCATAGGAACTAGTCCACGCCTCCTTCCTCTTGAAATGCCCTGCTGTGAGTATAGAGGTGGTTTTTTTCTACAGGCTACCACTGGTTGTAACTTCTGCCCATCTGTCATTGGGCTAGTTACATTGGGAAGCTCCAAGTTGGTGGAGGGACACCTCTGTTCCACCCCAAATCCCCTCCTGCATAGTATTTGGGGAATTTGGATTGGTCTGTGAGTCTTCTTTATCCCCAGGGCCCACACGGATAGTAACAATACCAATGATTCCTTGCTTTGGTGCTTTCTTCCATATCCTTATGAAAGATTTCTTTGTTCTTTGAAGATGCAAAAGGATTGAGTAACCCAATGAAGATCAGGAACACAAGGTTTCAAGTTCAGATCAATTTGGAGGACTACATCAATGATCGTCAGTACGACTCCAGGGGACGCTTTGGAGAACTCTTACTACTTCTTCCCACCCTTCAGAGCATCACCTGGCAAATGATTGAGCAAATTCAATTTGTGAAACTGTTTGGAATGGTTAAAATTGATAGTTTGCTTCAAGAAATGTTACTGGGAGGTAGGTGTGTCAGTAGGTTTTATTGGACTTCCTTGTGTTTAACTGTACAGCGGTACCTTGGTTCTCAAACTTAATCCGTTCTGGAAGTTTGTTCCAAAACCAAAGTGTTCAACAACCAAGGTGCAATTTCCCATAGAAAATAATGCAAAATAGATTAATCCATTCCAGACTTTAAAAAATAACCCCCAAAACAGCTTCCGGGTTTGCAGTGTTTGTGTTCCAATTTGTTTGAGTACCGAGACATTTGAGAACCAAGGTACCACTGTACTCAGATGCACTTATATTAGTGCTGTACCCCTCCCCAAGATACATTTTCCTGCTCCTTTTGGGTCTAGAATTATTTTTGCAAAACTTAGGGCTAAGGGGGTTTGACATTTATGTTATAACTTTATGTAAACAGATGTGGAGAACTTCAGGCCCTGGAACCAAATGCCCCCTTGTAGGCTTTTCTGTTTCTCCCTGCGGACACTTTCCAGGCCACACACCTGGACTGACCTGTTCTGTGCCCTATGAGAATGTCCCTCATAGGACACTCAGTAGGAACTAGCAGTCAAGGGGTAGTGGTACATCTCATCTTCCTCTGTTTCCATCCTGGCTTTGTTAATAAGTGAATTAAGGTCTTGCAGCTCCTCTAAGTGAGGGAAATGTATTTTATTTTGTAGAATCAATCAGCATGACACTCTTAATCTCAGGGTTGTGGGTTCAAGCCCTCTGTTGGGCAAAAGATCCCTGCATTGCAGTGGGTTGGTGTAGATGACCCTAACGGTCCATTTCAACTCTACAGTTCTCTGATCCTCTGTCCATTTGCATAGACAAACGCTTTGGTTTTCTCTTGCAGGTACGTCTAGTGATGCCACGAATCTCCACCAAGTTCATCCTCATCTAGCCCAAGATCCTCTCACTGGACAAACTCTGCTTATAAGTTCAGTGGCTGCTCCTGTACATGCAGAACCAATTTGTAAGTTTATTGTAAATATATCTCTTGAGTGTAACTTCTGTGGGTTATTTTTAATTCACTGCTTAATTGGTTATCAGTGCTTCACATCTTTTTTTCCCAACCTTAATTGTTTTCTACTAACAACATTTCAACAACCTGAGTTTAAAATTTAATTTCTTATATTGCGCAAATTTTTAGTGAAGGCTAGGCTGTAGCATTGCCAAATCTTCATCCAGAAATACTTTTTTTGGGGGGGGGCAAAGAGTGGCTTTCAGAGGGCATGAAATGTTTTTCTGAACAAGTCTTTAAGACTACCTTTTTCACTGCTATTATTTGAAGAGGTTCACAGTATTCAGTTTGTAGTTTGCTCCTTCTTCCGTATAATTTCTCCCTCTGGGCTTTCTTTTGATGTCATCTCAGCCAACTGCAGATCCTTCACCAAATATGATGATGCCACAATACCATGTAACCAATAAGATTAGATGTTTTAGGTTTTGGGGGTTTTTTTGTTTTGTTTTTACAATCAAGTGGTATATACATTTTACGAAGTAAATAAAAATTCATGAAATAAATGATTTGACTACGTCAGAGTTTCCCAAACTTGGGTCTCCAGCTGTTTTTGGACTACAGTTCCCATCACCCCTGGCCACTGCTCCTGCTAGCTAGGAATGATGGGAATTGTAGTCCAAAAATAGCTGGAGACCCAAGTTTGGGAAACCCTGGGCTACATGATGATGGCACTGAGGACCAACAAGCCAGTGTCCTCACTCTAAACGGGTATAGGGAGGTGGTGGTGCCTCAGTCCAAATTGACTGTGGGGCTGAAGCTACTATGCTGCATTGGGAAGTCAGCATCCGCTGAAAGGCCTTGACAACTGGAAAGCCCCTGCGGACATACCGTATTTTTTGCTCTATAAGACTCACTTTTTCCTTCCTAAAAAGTAAGGGGAAATGTATGTGCGTCTTATGGAGTGAATGCAGGGTGCGCGGCTATCCCAGAAGCCAGAACAACAAGAGGGATCGCTTCTTTCACTGTGCAGCGATCCCTCTTGCTGTTCTGGCTTCTGAGATTCAGAATATTTTTTTTTCTTGTTTTCCTCCTCCAAAAACTAGGTGCGTCTTGTGGTCTGGTGCGTCTTATAGAGCGAAAAATACGGTATTTCCCACGTTCAGGCTCTCGCTGAAATAGTAGGGACTTCTTCACGGCAGGTGAAAAATGTTCATGAAAAGCACATTCCCTGCCTCTTGTTTCAACGCAGCCCTAAGTAAGAGAAGCTTGATTTGATTACTGATAATTCCTTTTCAATTCTTCCCCAGCAACTCCCGAAACTCCTCTGCCTTCTCCTCCACAAGGCTCTGGTCAGGAATACAAGGTAGCTGCAAACCAAGTTACGGTTATTTCACAGCAATCTCTTCCAAAACAAAAGCCATTGTGATATTGATCAATGCTTCTTCTTTTTGTAATACAAGCACTGCATTAAGCCATTGTGACACTGGAAAACTCAGGACAGATAACTCAGATCTGCTGTTAAAGAGACAAGTACAGTTCCCTTTGGAGAAGTTTTTTTTATATATAAGAAAACAACAAATAAATCACTTTTACTAACTTTTTTTTTAAAAAAGCTTGAATTCAGATATAATTTGTGGGCGTAAGTAGGTGAATGGAGATGGGGAAGCTGTTTCCTGTTTGCAATGCGTTTGAATCAGTATTGAAGAAATTTAATTTATTGTCCCCTTATACATGAAAAAGTCTTAAGTATCTCTAGCGGAATGCAAAGCCTGATTTTAATAGAACTGCAAGCTGAAATTTAGAAATAATGAAACAGCAAAGCAAGTAGTTTTAACAGTTAATCAAAGCAGGTGTCTCATTTTCTTGAATATACAATGGAGGTTGAAAGCCAAAATACTTCCTGCAAGCATCTATGTGACGTATGTGTGAATTATATAGTGAAATCCTGTACATGTTTACTCAAAAATAAGACCCACTGTGTTCAGTGGAGCTTACTCTCAGGCAAGTATGCATTGGATTCTAACCTATGTGGAAGCAAATCTCCTTAATTTCAATGGAATTTATTTTAAGTAAGTGAATACTGCTGTGGGATTTGTTTAAAAATGTATTGTCTTTTGCTCTTAAGTAAGAGGCTCTTGTAAATAAGTTCTGCTTTTAATGTTGAACTGTGGGTTTTTAAAAAGCTACTATTCAAAATGTGAACTATAATTTTTAAAAGAATTAAATAAGAATGTTAGCAAAAAGTGGAGAAATATTTTCCCCATTTACACTTTCTCCTGAAGTGGAAAAATTAGAAATTTTGGGGGAAATTGAAAAAAAAAAAAGCACGTATCTTCTGAAGTATTCTGTTAGAATGAATAGAGCAGTGTTCTAAAATAGCACTGTTGCAGCCAATACACACAGCTGCAATTTTTTTAGTTCCAACATTCAAAGTTGGGAATATTAGTGATTAAAGCATTGGTACTATGTTTGCCTTGGTTGCTAAACAAGCAACACTCTTCTCACTTGATGCTGAAAAAGTACATCTAAATATTTTCCAGTATAGAATACGTTCAGATAGCTAGTAGCCTAACAAGCACAGCCTCTGACTGTTGATTCTATTTTGCATTTTTTGTATCAAGTGAAATAAATGGATGAATGTTAGAAAATGGACACATGCCCTCTTATAACACGCAAACAGGAAAGTGTCGAGAAGCTTGCTTCAGTTCATACAAGACCTTCAAATGTTGATGGTTTATATTTTCATCTTCTATCTTTCTCTATTTTCCCAGCTGGCAAAAAAGAGAGGGGGACTACAAAAGACTTTGATACCAAAAGCTTACAATAGCATATCATACGCTGGATTTTTAATCAATAAAAATAAGCATATCCAATTTAAAATGTCATGCAACCAAAAAAGTTTCACATACTGAATAGCACAATGTTATGTGTTGTGCTAAGTTTTTTAATGAGCAAAATGAGTTTAGCTTTTATAAGAAAGTACTGGATAGATTTCAATTTCCCCCCAAATTTCTCTCTTTTGTTCTAGAAAAAACAAACATATGGGAAAACATCCTCCACGTGACTTTAAAATATCCATAGATTTTACAACTGTAGACCCTTCTGATGTTATCGGCATAGTATCAAAGCTGTTGCAGTTCAGTTCTTTGTTATGCTTTTCCGGTGACATCAAAACCATTGGACCAATGTCATGGAGCCTTTCTTACACCAAAGTTGTTCCTAATAGAGATTGGGTTGTGTCATAATGCCCACTCTGGGTAGCAGATCCCAGAAGGCCCTGCAGTCAAGGCTATGGAAAAGTTAGATATAAGAACATAAGAAGAGCCTACTCTTTGAGGCAAGTGGCCCATCTGGTTCACCATATTGTTCTCATAGTGGCCAACTAGATACTTAAGGGAAGCCTGAATGCAATAGCATTCCCCGCCCCCCCCCAGGTGATTCTGACCAACTGGCGTTCAGAGAAGAAGAAGAAGAAGAGTTTGGATTTGATATCCCACCTTTCACTCCCTTTAAGGAGTCTCAAAGCGGCTAACATTCTCCTTTCCCTTCCTCCCCTACAACAAACACTCTGTGAGGTGAGTGGGGCTGAGAGACTTCAAGGAAGTGTGACTGGCCCAAGGTCACCCAGCAGCTGCATGTGGAGGAGCGGAGACGCGAACCCGGTTAGCCAGATTACGAGACTACCGCTCTTAACCACTACACCACACTGGCTCTCAGAGGCATATTGCCTTCAACAGTGGAGGCAGAACATAGCCATCTTGGATAGTAGCCATTAATAGGCTCACCCTCCATTAATTTGTTTAATCCAGACGCAGGTCCGGCACTGGTCCTGAGCTGAGACCTTTGCTCAGGAATGCCCAGAAAATGCTTCTCCACCTAGAGTCCCAAATATCACATCACTGGACCACTGGCATAGGCAACAAACCAAGAGGGAACTAACAGCAAGAGTGGGAGTGAGTTAGCCTGAGCATAGCAATCTGGGTTGAGTACCATAAAAGGGTGTAGTTGGAGTAGTAGGTGGATCACCTGGAGCTCTCCAAGGTCCTGTACCTCTACTTTGCCTTGCCCTTTGGGCTTCTATTTCATGATGGGATAGGACAAGATAAGGTGGTGATGGTGAAGGAGGCAGGTCCACATTGTGGATACTTCTTATCTGGTCCAAGTGTCTATTGTTACCTGAGCATTGCAGCAAGAAAGCAGAGGAGCAGAGTTTTTGGTGCTTAACACTCAGATGAATGACTAAATGATTTCCTAGACTGCCAAATGTAATGAAACACTTTTCCTTTTTGAAACTCTTAATATTGTTATCTATTTTATACAATGCTTTTCCTTGTTAAATAATAAGTATATTGTAATTTATTGAGAATCTGATTTATTTTCTAGGTGTAAAATTATTTTTGTAAGCCTAATTGTACAAAATCAAAATGACTGGCTTTGTTCAAATGGTATATTGTGCTGAGCTGTTTGAACCATGATGTAATGTATGGATGTTGGCTTGAGTAGCCATGAAATGGCTGCTGCAAATGTTTTCAGATAGACTGTTTTTCATCAATGCTCAATAAACAGATATTGAAAACATATGAATGTTAAATGGGCCTTGAAGTAACTTTTTTCTTTGCATAATGTAAACAGCAATGTTGGGTTGTTGGGTTGTTTTTACAAAAATTGGCTGTCATAACTATGAGCAGAAAAAGTTAAACTGTTATTGGAATCAGATGAGAACCACATCACAGCTCAAACTGCATCGGTTAGAGCTTTAATTAGGCTAAATTCCTTTTATTTCTTACTCAGTTCATTGAAATCCTTAGAATTTCTAAGAGGTGAGATTGCTCTTTGGGGATGGCAGCTATTGTACTGTAAGTTAATAGAGTTCCATTCCCCCCCTCCTTTTTTTGCTTTTTGAGGTTTCAGATCAGAAAATTATGTGTGATTTAATTCAGGGAAGAATGGATGAGATTAATTTTTCTCCGGTCAGATAATTGTATGTTTTTGATCTATGTGTCTTTTTTCAATTTTTAAAAGGAAAATAATTTACAGTCTCTGCATGTACATTCTAGTGGATCAGGTCAAAGACCTACCTGTTTTCACAGTGGTCAACCAGATCCTTAGCCACAGCCCTCAAGCAGAACATAAGAGCAACAGCACTTACTCCAAGTGGTATTCAGAGGCATACTTCTTCCAACAGTGGTTGCAGAACATAGCTAGTGATGATGTTCTTGTCCATGAATCTGTCTAATCCTTTTTAAAACTCACCCAAGTTTCTGGCCATAACAACATTCTGTGGGTAGGAATCCCATAGTTTAACTTCACTGTATGCAAACGTATTTTCTTTTGTTTCTCCTGACACTTCCAACATTCAGTAGCATCGTGTACTCTCAGGCGCTAGTATTATGAGGAAGATTTCCCCCCTCTATCCATTTTCTTTACATCTTCCATAGTTGTTTATATCTCTATCATGTCCCTTATTTTTATATATAAACTTGAAAAGCTACACATTTTGTAACTCAAACCAGTTACTCCAACCAACAGTTTTGGTTGTCCTTTACTGAGCCTTTCCCAGCTCTACGATATTCTTTTTAAGGAAGGGAACCAAAACTATACACAGCATTTCAATTGTGATTACACCATACATTTGTATAATGATGTTGTTATTAAACTGGCAATTCTTCAATCCCTTTCATAATGATGGAATTTGCCATTTTCATTAACCGCTCCACACTGGATCAACATATTCATTGAACTATTCACTGAGATGCCAAGATCTCATTCCTGGGATTGAGCAGTACAGCTGCAACTAAAATGTTTTGAGTGTGTTGTAAATTGCAGTATATGAATGTGACACTAGATGGCAATGGTGAGCTATGTCAAATTCAATATATTTTTCAAAACGTTTTTTAAAAAAGCATTTTCACAGTGTTTTTTATATGCCTGTAGATTCAGCCATAATCACCCACAGTATAGACTCCATTAGTGTGGATGTGAAATTAGGATTTATTTATTGCTGAAATGTACACCCTTGCTTACATTGTATTGCATTTGCCATTTTACTGCCCATTCACCAAAGTTACGGAGATCTTTTGGAGCACCTCACAATCCCTTTTTGTTTAACCCACCCTGAACAATTCGACACCACCAGCAAATCTGGCTACCTTGCTGCTCACTTATATAGCTATGAGACATGCTATGATCTTTGTAATTCCAAAGAGTTAAGGAACCCATAATGGCATCGCCTGATTAAATTTATTGTGGTAAAACAAGTAGTGAATTTTGTTTGAGAAAGTGATAGAGTCATGTTGTAGAGAAAGATTGGCACTCTTTCCCGCTTCCTCTTGAAGCTCTTTGTACTTTTCAGGTGAATTCTACCGGATCCAGCTTTAACCAGATCCTTGGAAAAATAAAATCTCACTTTCTCTTCATGGGGAGCTGATCTGAGGGAGGGGGAAAGAGAAGTGAACAGATGGGGTGGCACCCATAATACACACTCAAAAATCCAAACGTATCTGTCAAGGCTGCCTCAAGTCTTAGCTCACAAAAGACCAACGCCTACGTCTTCTTGAATACAAAGGTGTTTATTGCAGTTCATGGTTTGCTTGACATCTTAGGCGCGCAGCCTTACGTCTCTTACGCTAGACCGCCGAAGTCCCGTCTGAGTCAGTGCCTCCTCTACACCAATTTAAGAGACTTGCGCTGCTCCACCTCTTTCTCTCCTTCCTTTTCCGCAGGGTCTTTCTGCCCCCTGGGGTTTGCCCCTTTCTGGATTCCTCTGACGCGGAATCAGACTGCTGCTCCCCCCTCCTGCGGGCTTTGGGACCTGGCCCCTCCTCCGGGCTCCCTGCACTTCCGCGCGCCTCTACATTTGAACTAGGCGCGCGCGCCAAACCTCTAACTTTCCTTTTGACAGTTACACTGCTCCCTTCACTGCTCCCCTCCCTTTCCGGGAGGGCTGCTTGCTCTGACCCCCCTCCTCTCTGCTGCTGGAGCTCCTTCCTCTGACACACTGGAAACTCCACCCCCTTCGCTGCACTTTGGTGGGGAGGCTGGTCCTGACGCCCAGCTGCCACTTTGGGATCCTCCGCTGGCACCCTGCTCCTGACATTTCCCCCCTGGGGCTCCCTGGCCCTGACCACCGGCGCCCCTTCTGGGAATCCTCTGATTCGCTGGAAAGACTCATGGAATCCCTTGAGTCATTGTCGTCCTCTTCCTCGCTGGCTTGGAATTCCTCCCCTTCGCTCTCCATCTCCTGCCTACCCTGTGCCTCTCTCTCTGAACCCCTGACAGTATCTTAAAAGGTTGGTGACACCTGAAATAGGCAAATGCCAGGCCTAGCCACCATCTGTCTACCCAGCAAGCAACATTTCCTTAGTGGACTACTTGTTCAAATGGCCTACTTCGTGTTAGTAATGGAAAAGGAATAAGGAACAGTATATCCCTACCTCCTTTCCAAATGATTTGCTAAAGCAAATCGTGCCTTAAAGTTGAGGTAATAAGGCCACAGGAAAGTGATTTAAAAAGATAGAGCCCAGACTGTTTTAAGGCAAGAAAAATTGTTTTCCTCTTGGCCTTTCTTTACAGTGCTCATGATGAAGGCTAGAGGTAATATTTTCCACATTGATGGTATCTGTGGTTGGGCAAATGCATTTTTTAAAAAACTTCTCAATTGTTGTGTGTTTCAAATAAACTGCCCATTTAATGTTCCTCTTGGCAAAAAGAATTATTTGATACAAATTATGGCTTGGATCTAAAGGTGGCCTTCCTCTAATGCAGAGGGGGGGAGCCTCAGGCCCAGGAAATGGATGCAGCCAACAAGGTCTGCATATCTGGCCCTGCAGATTCTCCCCAGCTCATGCCCTCACAATGGACCACGCTCCTACTTGGCCTGCTCAGTCCCTCCTGAATGCTTTTGCATAGAGAATGTAGTTTACTGTTCTTCAAAGCTCTGGGATGGATGGAAGGAGTTATTTATTTTTATATAAAAAAGGCACTGATACAAAAGCACAACCTTTATTATAAAGATTATCCGTTAACATGGGGAAAGATCCTCTAAAGTTGATCTGACCTTGTATAGTTTAAATAGAATTATCTGTGGCTATCTGCCATATTTTTCCATGTATAAGACTAGGTTTTCCCTCTAAAAAATAATGTCCAAAATTTGGGGGCATCTTATACACTGATAGATCTCTCCCCATTTTCTTAAATCGGAGTCCCCCAAAATAGGGGGCGTCTTATACATGGGGGCGTCTTATAGATGGAAAAATATGGTAACTATCCATATTACACTCTGCTTATGTACCTGAATAAAGAAAAGAAGACAAGAAGGAATATACAAATGGTAGCCATACAGCACTCTGGATAATTACTTTTTTTGAAATCACTCAGCTGCATAGCCAGTGGCCACAGTTTGAACTTCTAAGTTTTGGGAAGAAATCTACATATTCAAAATACAGGCAGAAAGGGAGAAGCAGATTCAGGATCTCTGGGAATTCAAAAACAACTTTGATGTAGAAGAAGTACATAAATACAGCAGCTGAAAAATTACTTTGGCAAAAAAAGTGACATAGATTAAAAAGTTTCTATACACCAGCCAAAATAAATTCAATACACATAGATTTCCATCAAAGCTGGAGTCAAGTATTTCTTTCTCCATTTCATATTTTCATATCTTCTTACAACTTCATATTTCATTTTTGCTACTGTCAAGTGCAAGGAAAATGGAGATTCCTATGGCAGACAATAGCAGCAGCCATGTAGTTCGAACATTTGATGACCCAATTGTGAATTTGTGTGCACGTTGTGGAGATGGCAGCTTTCAATCTAAACAGTTCTTCGGCTGCTTTTCCCCTGGGATCTAGTCAAAGCAGGTTGATGTGCTGAAGAAAGTCTTGCTCCTAGGCTGTAGAACTGCTGGATCTTAACAGCGCTCATCCATGAGTAACTGTCAACATTAAAATACAAAGAATGTACTCAAAATGGGTGCAAACTTGCAAAATAACAGACCATTTAAATTATCTTTGTTCCCAGAAATAGTTTTGCTATAGTGAAATCATTGTGCGGTATTTTGATACTCTCTTCT